TTCTTTTTCAAATCAACGTTTTCTTTGCTTATAACAATAATGTAACATAATTCAGTCCATACAATGAAGTAAAGATGATTTTAGGAGAGAAACACATCAAAAATATGTTAGTGTTTGGAAAAAAAGACAAAAAGCAAAAAGAGGATGTGAATATAAACTTTGCATCCAATGCCTCCCTCTGTGTCAACAATATTACTGATCTTTTTCAGTAGATCTGCAGAATTTCCAGAACCATCATCATAGATCAGGGGTTCCCAAAAAAAAAAAGTCAGCCTCTGACCCAAAAAATAACAGAGACACAGACTGGAAGCCTGCTAAAAAAAAATACATTTAGTTATTTCACTTTATATTTGTTTACAAAATCTAGAGTGAAGTAAAAATATTATTTTAAAATTATATTTTATTATTTAATGCAACATTTCACTATTGAATTGTGCATTTTAGTACTTTATTGTATTTTTCTATATTTCAATTATGTATTAGATAAATAAATAAATGTTACATTTAGTTATTGAATGATTTTTTTATTATTATTCAATGATGTATTGTGGGCTTTCATATACCTCAGAGATCACCTCATGATAATTGTGGAAACCGTCAATTGACCCCTGCTTGGTGTCTTGTGACGCTCCTGGAGGGTCCTGACCCGTGCTTTGGGAACCCTTGGTTAAGATTCTCTCAGATTTACAAGCAAAAACTTTGAAATTGAGCTAAACAAGCCTTCCAGTCTCTATTAAATCATCTGATAACTTCCACCTTGTTCTATGTTTCTCTGTGATAGATATTCTATTTTGAGCTACTCTCAGGCTTATTGGAGGATTAAGACAATTTTTTTAATGAAGGGCTGCTATAATACTTTAGATTATTCAATAAAATATGAAACTTTAACAATGATGTATGTATGTGGGTGTGTATTTCTGACATCGTGGGGACCATTTTCCTTAAATCACAGCACACTGAGGGGACCCAGTGCTCTAGTGGGGACCAATGGCTGGTCCCCAATGGTACAAATGCTGTTTTAGGCTTAGGTGTTAGGTTTAGGACTAAGGTGAGAGTAGAGTTTAGGTTAGGATCAGGGTTAGGTATGAACTTGTAATGGTTAGGTTTAGGGTAAGGGTCATGGTTAGGCTGTAGGACTCACCAACAAATGAATGGATGTGAATAGGAAGTCCCCACGGGAACAGTAAACCAGACATGTATGCAAGGGCGTAGGTTTGATTTGAACTTTGGTAGGGACACTATCAGTCGGTTGTCATTGGTGCTATGCAATATGCATGTCCTTTTTTATGCACGGTGTGAGGATCCGTACTAATAAGACTAATTCATTGTTAAAAGAGAAAAGCATCATTTTGCTACATTAATAAAATTTGTATAAGCACTACATTCATTAGATGCTGTTTATTAATGTTTGAAGTATCACCGGCTCTGATTAATGTGGAATTAGGACTGTTTTCCACTTTGAAAATGGTTTAATTTGAACGACTAAGAGAGAAGGTAAATACAGTATTTTCTTCTGAAGACATAGAATTGTGCAGAGTTAAACCCCACTCTTATATTTGTACCTACTATTCTCTCTCTGTATCAAGCAAAATAATACATTCATTAAAATATTAACTTCACTATAAAAGTGGAACATCCGGGCTGTAGTTACTCTGTGTAGCCCATTTCATGTATTTTATCTGGGACTGAAAAAATGAATCGTATTAATTGATTATTTCAATAATCGTCAACTAATTTAGTGAGTGATTCATCATTAACTGGAGAATAGAGACTCTAAAACATAATAAAAATGTAAAATATGCCTTTCTCCAACAGAGCAACCCACTTAGATCAGTAATTATATCAAAATTTTAAAAATACAACATATATATATATATATATATATATATATATATATATATATATATATATATATATATATATATATATATATATATATATATATATATATATATATATATATATATATAAAAACTGAAAGATTTTCTCTAAACATAACATACAAGGACATTTTAAACCCTACAACATGTTCAGACATAACTGAGGCCGGCAGGTTTACTGAAAACTAAGATTGTTAACTATGAAATCAGGGAAACCCTGAGTTTTCTGTTTCACAAAAATAGTTCACTAAACCCAGAGCTAACCTGGTCGGGAGCAGATTTACATCAACAAACTCCTCTGTTTGTCTACGCTCTTCTTAAAGCCAATCATGTCGTCTTATTTCCTGATTTAGTCAGAAAAGTTTTGTCATAGTTTTGTTCAAATAAAAATAAAATCAATCACAAAGTCTGTTAGAGACATTAGGAGTAAAAACACAATTAAAGAATGAACGGCATTAATTCACAGAAAAATAGATGCGTATAGAATTTATCTTTACCCAACTGTTTCCTTACAATCCATCATAGACATTCAGAACTTATTCATCTTCACATCATCTGCATTACAGACTTTATTTACAGAGACTTAAAAGAACCTGATGTCAGTGAGAGAACACTGATGTGTGATAACAGCATTATAAAAAAAAAACTGCAGTCAGACAGCTGCTCAGTATTTACTGTAATCGAAGACAGGGTTAAAATGAGGAGGAACCCCATAAGATGATGCACAAGTCCCACCTGTTAGAACAATGTTTTTACAGTTTATCTTCACCTGCTGACAGGTGATTGCACCTAAATGGATACAATGATCTTCTACATTCAACTTGTAAACTAGCTTTTCACCTTAATGTTATCGTGTCTATCATTAACTTATGTTTTTTTTTTTTTTACTTGAACCATGCTCACTTTACAAAAATCTGATTTGCCACTGAATTGGGTCAGTGATTAGATGGTCGAACACGCTGAAGTTAGTTATAATAAAAAATACTTGCGCCCACACACACACACACACACACACACACTTCTGAAATCAAAATTTCATCAATGATGTCTATGACTGACCTCCTTAGGCTATGGCAGGCCTTTATGATATGTATTAGTTTGACTGAAATGTATTTCTGATATATGAAATACATTTTTTCCTTATCAAAATGAAAATTTCAAACACAATGATATTCTTCGTATCTAAAACAATCTATCTGGATGCCTAGTAATGAATTGCACATCTCCACATTCCTATTGTTACTAGTCAGAATTAGCAGTATTTTAAATAGGAAGAAATGTATTTCAGATGTAAATATTCAGTCAATGGCTAAATGTCAAAAAAGCCAGTTAAGAAGTGTAAACTTCATTCTTACTAGTACAATTTTGACATTTTGAAATTCCATTTCTGCTTCACAATTGCAAATTTGGAAATCTAGTATTGCAGTTCTGACTAGGAAAGAGAATTTGACCAGGGTGAATCCTATTTTAGTAATCTACAAATGTAACAACAGAAAGGACTACGCGTTTAATAAATGGCCTACATACAGTGAGGAAAATAAGTATTTGAACAGCCTGCTATTTTGCAAGTTTTCCCACTTAGAAATTATGGAGGGGTCTGAAATTGTCATCGTAGGTGCATGTTGTCCACTGTCCGGAACATAATCTAAAAATATAAATAAATCCAGAAATCACAATGTATGATTTTATAACTATCTATTAGTATGATACAGCTGCAAAGAAGTGTTTGAACACCTGAGAAAATCAATGTTAATATTTGGTACAGTAGTATTTGTTTGCAATTCCAGAGGTCTAACAATTCCTATAGTTTTTCATCAAGTTTGCACACACTGCAGGAGGGATTTTGGCCCATTCCTCCACACAGATCTACTCTAGATCGGACAGGTTTCTGGGCTGTTGCTGAGAAACATGGAGTTTAGGCTTTTAGCAACATTATCTGGGTGGGCCCCATATAAAGTACAACACGCGAAAAAGGTTCAGGATACGGCGACAGTTCCATAAATCGGCCAAGAAGAAACAATTATGCAATTCTCAGTAGTATATGATCACACATCACACACGGAAAAATAGTGACTGTGCACCTTGAATGGAACCATTGGTGACAGCGCACCCCCACATGTTAGCACAAGAAGCCATCGGGCTACCTTCAGCTTCACAGCCCCCCTCCTCACCCACGCTCTCTCCATTCACCTCCTGGTCGCCATCTTTACTCACTGTAGCAGCAACGTTCACCTCTCCCTCTTCGGTTCTTTGAAAGAACGTGTTTATTTGGGGATTTTTTTTCCCATTCTTCCAGCAGCTCTTCTTTGCTTTTTCTTTTCTGGAATCTGCTCAAGTACCTCATTTTGGTATCCATCGTTGCTAACACATTGTGCCTAACGGTAATGGTTAAATCTACGCTCTGGATTACCCATAATTCCAAGTCGTAGTGTAAAAAATAACATATTCAAATACCTCTTTTAAGATCTTTATTGCGGTTTGAAACATATTATATGAGTGTATTTATTACCAACTGTCTCACCATCATGTTGATCTGGCATGTGTTGCAGTATAAATATGGTCTGGTCAGTCTCTTCAGTATCAGGTGGGTTTGAAAGGACGTCTGCAAAGAGACGTCCTAGTCTACAATTGCGAACAGGGCCCACGAAGTGTCAGTGATGGGGCCCCTAAGAAGTCGTGGGCCCGTAAGCAGCTGCAGTCTCTGCTTAATGATATTTATGCCATGGAGCAGAGAGGAAAAGTGGTCCCCATGTCCTCCAGCAGCTTAACCCTATAGCCACATAACTTGAAGCACTCTAATGAAAAGCATTATCAGATAGACAGGGTGTCTGTCTCTCAGAGGAAAACTGGTTGGTTGGTTGCAAATTATATTAACTTGATAACTAATAGCCTCAATCCCATTTTACTCTTAGAAAGTGTGGGAACAGCAGGTTAATCTGCAGACTGAGAACATAAAGACCAATCAGATTACAGATTGAACTTTACCAGCCAGCCCTCCAACGTCCTCCAGGAGAAAATAACTCCTTGCTTCAGGTTTTGCTCCTCTGGTTATGTTCTGCAGTGGTCCCACACACATCTTCTGCAGGTTTAAAGCTGGTGATTTGTCTGGGGAGGCAGTACCGAGACAGTTCCCTGCTCTGTAGGCGGGTCCAGTCTGGTTACTAAACCGTTTTCCTCAACTGCAGGAAATCTGTCCCGTTAAGTCGTGACCGTCCACGGTTCACGCGTCCTTTACAGTAAACCCAGCCGCCTGATCCACGCTGCAGAGCCGCTTTTTATCTATTTCTTTTTTATCATGTGCAACAGCCATGTTCTTCAGCTGCTCCTCTGTCTGCTCTGCACCGGACTGACGGGTAAGTTTGGCTCCCTGGGATTTTAGAGGTTAAAAAGTGAATGTGCTGTAAAGGTTCGGTGATTGTCCTGTCGGTCCAGATCTGATCTGATCCGCAGTTTGAACAGAAAGACACTTAAATCTGTCTGCAGTTTCACTGGAAACATATAGCTGCACTTTTTTTCTGCAAAGCGCCGGTTTTTGGTTTTAGCCCAAAAATCCTAGAACCCTGTGCGTCGAACCGGACCGTTTGGGTTTGGGCCACTGATCGGACCGCTTGGACTCTAACTTTGGACCTTTTCAGGTCCACCGGGTCTGTCAGCTCGATGTTTAGGCAACACTTTCAGAAGATGCCGGCCGGACTTCCAGTTGGATCAGAGCCAGCTTTTTTTCTCCTGTCAAGCAGGGGCGCCTCCAGGAGTAAAGCCGGGGGGGGCTTAGTCCCCTGGAGCAGGGTCTTCAACGTTTTCCAGGCCAAGGACCCCCAAACTGTTGGAGAGCAGAGGCGTAGCCAGAAAACTTTAGTCAGGGTGGCCAGGCAATAACCAGTGTACACTGAAGGATAGTGTACATTGGATAGGTGGCAGAACCCGAGAGTCTATCTACAGTGTTCCAACAGGAAAATGAAGAATCACACCATCTGTATTTTCTAAATAAACACAAACTATAGTTTTCTACAGCCTTCGCTAACAAATATACGCATATGTTTAAACATCCATGCTGTCTAAATTAAAGGTGGAGTGGACAAAGTTCTTTCAGTTTTGAGTTATTCATTGTCATTACTAACCTACTTTTATTAATAATCATTCAGCATAAAATTAATATTTACATGTACCAATCTATCTACATTAAATTACTTATTAATTATTATTTAAGTAGTTATTTATCTCTAATTTCAGTGAAGATTCCTGGATAACTTACAGAGGCAAAATTTTCTCTTTAACCATTATAAGACTAAATCTAGTTCTGAAAAGAATGTGAATTCTGTATTTATCTTTAATGTTAGAAGCTATATTGATATGCATGATTAACCACAGGGTTTTTGTTGTCAGGTAATTGTTTACATATAGAAAATGAAACTTTAAATAAGTTAGAACATTCCACTTGAGAGTATTACTGCTGCCACCATCTGTATTAGAGGGAAAAAGGGTAAGGGTGGCCAATGATTGGCTAAGGGTGGCCATGGCCACCTCTGGCCCCCCATCTAGCTCCGCCCCTGCTGGAGAGATGGAGCAGGGACCCCATAATTATATATATTGTATGAAATAGTGTTCTATCAAACTGGTCCTATAGTCACTATATTACAGATGGATTAATGTAATGAAAGTAATTTCTCCCTGGGATTATTAAAGTATTTCTGATTCCTGGTTGATGGGACAGGTGTTGTGAATGAAACGGTGCCCAGCTTGAAAGAGCTCCTGTGTGTCGCTGAATGTGTGCATTGATGACTGAAAGACATCTTCTGCCTCCATTTATCTGTTTACTTCAGTGTGTTGCATTCATGTTAATGTGGATTTAAAGACATTTCAATTAGTGGGAAAAATTGCAGGGGGAATCTAAAAAAAAAGGCCAAAACTTTCGTGACCCCCATGCAGTACCTCTGTGGACCCCCTAGGAGTCGCAGACCCCCTGTTGAAGACCTCCTTCCTAGAGTACAACAAGGATAGGAAAGTACTTGGTAAAATGGCTGCTCAAGTGGGTGGCCTCGGCCACTCTTAGCCCATCATTGGCCAACCCTGCCAGCACTAATACTCTTAAGGGGAATGTTCAAACTAATTAAATGTTTACATTTTTTCATGCAGAACTCAAACCTGAAAGAATTTTGTCCACTATACCTTTTATCTAGATGCCATGGATGTTTAAATATATGCATCTTTGTGTTAGCAAAGGCTGTATGAAAGTATAGATTGTCTTTTTTTTTGAAAATATAGATGTTGTGCTTGTTCCTGTTGGAATAGTGTAGATTGAGCCTGAGGTTCTGGCGCCTTTCGGCCAGCCATCAATGTACATTGGTTATTTACTGGCCACCCCTATTAGGATTTTCTGGCTACACCTCTACTGGCCACCTCACTGGCCAGTGTAAATTGTAGTAGCATCAGTTTAGCATTTCATCCCATTATGCACATCCAGCGACGTAACATTAAAAATCACACAATAAACCAAGATATGAGTAGGTGTTTACTTAAAGTCGTAGGGAAGTCATATTTAAAAGTCAAATCATTCTGGCTTAAACATGTATATAAATGTACTCTTTATCAGACAATATTGTCCCAAAATGTAGAAAATTTCTATAAAAAAAAAAAAAATCCTGTCAATCTGTGTTTTTTTCGTTATTTTATGCAGCCCAGTAAGTCATACATCAGCCTAAACACCTAAATTTGGCCAATCATATATCAATGGTCATCTGTCATTCAATTTTTTTGGTCGTAGCATCTTGATTCATATGTCGCAGCTAATATACACAACGGTTGAAATAAGAAGTACGAATAATTTCCTTTCCCATTGAGTTCCGTCCCAGTGTTCACGGGGATGGACGTCTGTGTCTTCAGCAGGCGTAGAGCTAACAGAACTGGCAGCGTTGCGAGGCAAGGGCTCAAACATGTACGGCTGGAAGCCTTCTACACCAAACCAAGCTTCTGCCGCCCTTCCTCCTCTTGCATGTTTCCTCTGTCCATAGCGTTTCTTGACAGTGTCGTTTCTAAGTCACCAATTTAGTGCTACTTGGTCAAAATATAATTTCCAATTGGGAACCTACTAGCACTAAGTTGCTAACTGGTTAGCAAGATGCTTCCGACAAACCGGCCGCAACCAAACTGGTTTGCGAACCTTCCACCACAACAATCCCGCCCCCTTGATAAACAACCAATCACATTCACTTTATTCACTCGTGTAAAGTTGTGCACCACTCAGGAGAATTCAGAAATGCAACGGTTGGAACAACCACTTCCCTACGACTTTAAAGTCTTTAGGATTTCTACAGGCAGGTTTACCACAATAGTAGATTAAAACCCTGAAATTATGGCTTTTACTTTCATTGTGCCACCCGAAGATTTTTAGTGGCCCCATCTGGCCACCCCTACGAAACATTTCTGGAGGTGCTACTGCTCATAATGCTACATCAGACTGCAAGCAGCAAAGCAGCAGGAGCAGCTAGTTTACATTCAAAGATAATGGTTGACGCACATCCTGGTGCAGCAAAAGGTCCTCAGCGCGTTTTGAGCAGCAGGTGCAGTGCGTCTGAGCAGCTGAAGGAGCAAATACAGCTGCTGCTGGAGTTGGAAAAATTAAACTTTTGCTGCTGGAAGCGCCGCATCAACCAATCAGAGAAGCTGATCTGGGAGCTGGCAGGGAGAAAGACACATCACTGATGATACAGATCACTATGATCACTCCTCTGAAAGTGTTTACTAACGTCTAAATTAACTTAGAATGCTGAAATCACCTGGCAAAACATGTTCACTTTTGTTATTCTGGTGCCTGCAGCTTGGATTATGTACGTGAAAAACACCTTCCAGCCACCGCGGCAAACCGCCAAGAGGCGACCGGGTCAGAAGCTGCTGTTGAATGGGATTTACAATGACAGAGCACCGCTGGTATGTGGGGGTCTGAGCGGCTCCGACAGCGAAATAATATTTGAATGCAGGATGGTAATCTTGAACTGACTGCACAGATGAAGTTTTCATGTAGAATTTCTCACTTAAAAACATATCAAAACTACTTTTTTTCCCACTGATCACAGCAAAATAGCTGCCATTGTTACAGACAAAGAAAGGATAGGGTAGCTCCACGCAACACGCATCAGACCCACTTTCCACCACGCAGCTGGAGCAGCAAAGATGCTTCAGCAGCGCGTCAGAATTAAACTTTTACAAGCATCAAAAATGAAGCAGTACACGCCTGCAGAGCCAGCAGATGGTAAACTCCAACTGCAATGATGTCTGCAACTATAAACGGATTAAGAAGATTTTGTTGCCACCAAATACTTATTGTATTAATTAGTACCGTTTACCCTTCAATGGCATTTATATGCATTTATTATTTATATTTTTTAAACAGACTTCCGGCATGTCTTCTTGTTTTCTCTTTTCTGAGGGCCACTTGTCACAGCACAGAACTGAGGGCCCAGTATTCAGTCAAGACAGACAATGGGATTACTCAAAAAGCATTTATTTAGAAACATCGGGCTGCGGTTCTGTAGTAGCAGCAGCCAAGGCGGGAGAACCTGTAGAGAGGAAACTCAGGTTATTGACCACGTAAATCTAACAGAGGAAGATTATGAACGTGAGTGACTAACCTGGTTTACAAGTTCAGTCAGCCAGAGAAGGAGGTAGGATTCAGCTGGTGGGCTACCAACAAGGTACGACGGGCGCTGCCCAGAGTGTCCACAGTGCTGTCCTGGCGACCGAGCAGGAGTCCGAAGCCAGATCAGGCAAACAAATCAGAACAGGCAGGCTCAGGAGTCCAAAGACAGTTCAGGCAAACCGTTCAAACTAGTGATGCACGATATAATCGACCCCTATCGGTATCGGCCTGCATCGGCCTTAAAACTGAATATCGGACATCGGCCACCCCACCGATATTTAACCCGATATTTGATCAGCTTCTGAGTTTCTAAAGTCTAAAAAAATACTACTTCTTCTTTTTCCCCAAAAACTTCTTTTTTACAGACTTAAAAACTTCTAAAGACGAGGGAAAAAATATTGATACATTAAAATATCGCAATATCTTCATATGCTGATATATTGCCATTTAAAAACACCATATCAATCTCTTTTACTAATGAAATATTGCTATATGTCATCGTTATGCTACGAAATCCCCCGAAAACTCACGAAATTTTGCCATATTTTTATATGTTAATATATTGACGCGGTATCGATCTATTTTACTAACAAAATCTCACAAGAATTTGAAAAATATCACAAGAGTTTGTAACAGAACGATGAAATTTCACGAGATCAGACAGGAACAGGCACGCTCAGTGGTTGAGAGGCAGAAAAGGTCAGGATCATGACATCAGAAACACCAAGGCACTCTAAAAACACACTCCCCATTGGCTAGACAGAACAAAAATAATCTGGTCCTGATGACTGGATGCAAGCTTCTTAAATAGAGGCAGGAGCAGGTGGATCAGTGATGAGGGGCAGAATTTGGTGAATCGGTGCCAAGATCATGGCACATTCTGCCTCACAGGAAACTCAACATAGGGACCAGCGTGAACGTTCACTTTAACTGGATGTTGTTTCTACCAACAGCTCAGGTGGATCTGGAAACAGACGAGGTGGTTCCCAAGCTGCTATCCAGGCAGGAGGTGTACCTGTCAGAGGATCCTATCTACAGGCTACGACGCCATCACCAATGGCCCCTGGATTTCTCGAGTAAACAACATTCTGTGGCAGAGAACCTTATTGTGTCGCTGTCGGCTTTTGGAAGGAGTCTATATCTTAACTTAACGAGAGACCTCAAAATTCTTTCCAGAGACTTTGTTGTAGAGGAAAGGCTCAGGAACCAAACTGTAGTAGTCAGACCTTTTTCCATGAAGCAGCTCTGTTTGTACTCTGGCTTTATCATCAACCATACAGACTCTCTGGCATCACTGAGCACCTGTGGCGGTTTGGTAAATCTATCTTTTGTTTTTGGTTAACTGATATAGTTTTAATTTAATTCCATCGTGAATCAGACAAAGGGATCTGGAGAGAATATTACACTAAGCAGCATGGTAGAAGCATGACACACAGTTAAAGCCCTTAATATTTCTATCATTTTCATTTACCAATATGTGTCTTCTGTCTGGGAGTTTCATTAACATTTGGAGCGTCACAGTCCGAGTCCTGGCTTGAGTCTGATAGAGAGTTTTTGTACAGATATTATTTAGCCAAGCATGTCCTTTGACCCTCACCAAAAGTAAATCTTCTAAATATCAGGAAATGTAGAAAAATTTAGAAAATGTTTTCTGCCTTTAAAGGATTGATTTCTCTAATCCCCCCATTTTTTTTGTTTTTTTGTTGTTGTTGTTGTTACTGATTGGGAGTTAAATGTTTTCTATGGAGATTAAGTGGGACCATGAAATTAATCAGAAATATTTGATATAAACCAAAGAAAAATTTAAATATTTGGAAACAAAAAAAAAGGATTGAAGCAGAAAATAAATGTTTACATTTCTTCTCAGATTCAAACAAAGGCAGTCAACTCTCCACACCCCATGTCCCTGCCTTCACTCACTGAGGGGCCAGCAATTTTAATCTCTTTGCCAAAAAAAATATTTATTTTGTTTCCCTTTTTTTCACTTTCAAAATTTACTTTCAGATTAAAATAGTTTTTTCTAGTTTCTAATTCTTTTCTGTTTCGTTTCATTTTTTTCTTGTGAATGTCTTCAAAATGAATCTGGAAACTAGAAAACCATTTGAAACTCAAAAGAAATATTTAAAACTTCTCATGTAAAAAAAAAATGGCAGAAACTCTGGCAATAATGCCGCCGACAATGCCTGGCACACCTCGGACACTATCCCAGGCACTGTGCAGGATGCTAGTTTGTAGCTCTGTGTGACGGTCTGTTGGTTTGCGAGACCGAAGCCAAAACATGCAGCACCACAGCCAGTCTTTCAGCAACACCCATGGGTGAACTATGTGTGGTCTGGCGTTGGATGAGGGGTTGTAGACTGCAAAAGGCTCGTCAAACCAACGCACAGACATCCACGATGCTAGCTAGTTCATGATTGTCCCTCTTGTGTTGTGGTGTGGAATAACATAGCTCAAACTAGGCTTCAAAATTTGGCTTAAATCAAAAATATCTGCGTCATACCTGCGACAAGCTAACTGCGACACACTGCTGCGGGAATGTACACAGCCCTTTAGGGGATAGAAATGACTGACGATGACCGAATATCAATGGGAGTAAATGGTGCTCACTGCACACATGTAGCGAATATAGCAGGACAAGAAAGAAAGTGTGAATGTGTATGGTTGTATGTCTCTATGTTGCACTGCGATGGAGTGGCGACCATTGCAGAGCTACTAGAGATAGGCACTGGCCCTACGATGACCCTGATGGAATAAGCAGGAGAGGATGGATGGATGGATGGATGGATGGATGGATGGATGGATGGATGGATGGATGGATGGATGGATGGATGGATGGATGGATGGATGGATGGATGGATGAACGATGATGGAGGGATGGACGGATGATGGATGGAGGGATGGATGGATGGATGGACTCGAAGACCAAAAACATTGAAAGGTGAGGTAAAGCTTACTTTCAAAAATGTCCTTTTGTAGTTCTAGTTCCATCCATCCATTAATTCTCTTAACTTTATAAATAACTGTTGCTTAGTTGCTGAGTGGTTGGTCCCTACTTGAAGACATGGTCCACCCTTAACAGTCTCGTCTTCCATCACAGGGCAACACAGAGACACACAGGACCGACAACAAATGGAAGCATACAGACACCTGAGGGAGGTTTAGAACAACCCATTAACCTAACATCCATGTTTCTAGACGTTAAGGAGAAACAAGTGGAGAGCATGCAAACTGTATACACAACCCAGGAAATACATTTGCTCCCCTTTCAGTCCATTCTATGCACAAACCGCTGCCATTAAAAGTTAGACACAAGAAGCTGACCTACAGCTCCAGGACTTTTTTTTCTTTTTCTTTTGACTCTAGAAGCATCTCCTTGTCATAGACGTTTCACCTGATAAATATTTTTGCACAGACTGGGCTAATTCAGATTGGGGAAGACAGCCTGTTCATCCAGCCGCTGGGTGAACATGATCCGTCACATTCGTTCTCTGGAATCAAACACCAGCTGATCCGACATCGCTGCTCACCAAAGAACAACCCTGGGCAATGTGCTGGCCGGCCCGTCAACTGTGGGACCATCGAAGGTAAGAGGCCCTGTTGGAGACTGCATAGAGATTCTATATGTAGTGTGGTACGTCTGTGTACAACAGCAGCAATGATCAATGGTAGTAACAAACAGTAAACCATGTGGTTAATGTTCCCCCGGGCCTTTAACCTTATCGAACTCAATCAACTATCAGCTTTCAACTACCTCCAGGTGCCTGTGTTCTGACAGCTTAGCATACCGCGTCAGGCCAGCATACCCATAGTAATATGCGTTACATAGAGTGTCCTCTGTCTCCACTCTCTACCGCCAATTACGCTGTTTTATTTCCCGATTTAGTCCGATTTTTGTCTTAGTTTTGTGCATAAAACAACAAAAAAGGTCCACCACCACACACATTAGTTTAAAAAAAAATTGCATGTCTATGGATCTTATTAAAGAATAATCTGCAATTTTTCACTGAGGATTTAATATTTATAGGGAGAGGATTCTACAACCCAGTGACAGGAAAGGAGATTTATTTGCTTTTAGTTTGTTTAACATGAAAGACATGTGGATCATTTTTATTTATGTTTACAGCACATGAACTATTTTCAGATTACACGTAAATAGATTAATTAATTCCATGGGGGAAAAGAAATTACTTTAGGTATAGGATTAGGTTTCACACGATAACAACCCAATGACCCTACTGGCACAATCTGAAGCCATTCTGTGGGACTGATAATCGCTAATAACGGTCATGGGCACATGAGCTGTACAAATAAATAAAAATTGTTTAAAAAAAATGTTCACTTTAAACTATTTTTAAAGTCGCAGGGAAGCGGTTGTGATTGGTTGTTTATTGAGAGGGCGGGATCGTTGTTCGAAGTTTCCAAGCCCGCTTGGTTGTGGCCGGTTTGTCGAGAGCATCTTGCTAACCAGTTAGCAACTTAGTGCTAGTAGGTCCCCAATGGGAAATTACATTGGGACCAAGTAGCACTAAATTGATTATAAGACAGGATTTTTTACAAATATAAATTTTCTAACTTTTGGGACAATATGGTTTGATAAAGAGGAAGAGTAAGCCAGAATGATTTCATATTTAAATATGACTTCCCTACGACTTTAAAAAACATTTTAGAACAAACTCTACGGCCTCATTTTAGCTCCTTAGATCTGCTGTTTTTTGCCATTCTATCTTGCATACCAATTTTTTGGCCTATTTAAGACCATAATCTAAGGGTTGTTTTTCTCCCTGCTTGTTGCAGGAGATAAACCGAAGAAGAAACCAAAACGAGGTGAAGACGTTCGCAGGAAGAGGAACACAATGAACTTGGACAAAACATTGACCTTAGAGACGGTGGTGGTGGCAGACTTTAACATGGTGCAGTATCATGGTGCTGAAGTGGCAAAAAGATTCCTGCTCACTATCATGAACATGGTGAGACTCCCTGGAGGAACCTTACGTTGAATAGGAACAGCGATTCTGGGGCTTAAAATTCTTTTTAAGGATGTGTTTAAGTCCCAGGTGTTGAGAAAACATTTTTAAAAAAGGCACTCTCAATATGCTTTGGTGGTAAGAAATTTTTTCTCCCCTCTAGAAATGTAGTTGTGCCTCTCTTTCCACATTTAGCAGTAGATTTGGCAGTTGTTCTGAATTCCATGTTCACAGTTTTATTTACTCTTCCAAACAAGAAGTGCTGCATCACTACAGATAAAAACTTGCTGGTGCAGTTTGTGGGCATGTTGATGTGGATGCACTAAGATGGTGTCCTGACGTATACTCCATGTTTAATCAGTTAGTGCATCAGCTTTATCACTTTTTCCATATGATTTTACAAACCTTTAGTCAATCAGGATCTTAAGGTGCGTTTACACCAAATGTGAATAGGGTGTTCAGGGAAAGGAGGGACATTCGATAGAACCTTTTAAGCTGATTGGGTGAAGTGACACCTAGTGGCCACCTAACAAAGTTTGGTTTTAGCCAATCATTTTAACACATGAATAAAGCACCAGATTCCATTAGAAACTACAACAACTCCCACTTTTATGCACTTGCTGCTCCTCTAAGATGACGTGTATCATGATAAATAGCAGCAGCTGCATTTTCTCCTGACCTGCCATGTGTGGTCGTATACTCAGTAGGTCTTGTTTTCATTACAGCTATATGCCCTGCAGTAAACCCAAATGGTGCATTGACCATATGATGCATATTGGTTCCAAAAAAAGATTAAAAACCACTCCATTGGACTTTGTTTCCAAGTTTGAAGACACTCTCAACCCTTCTAGGTGTCATGATTTAATTAAAGATCTGACCCAAATGCAGAAAACCAAACAGACCAGGGAAAAGTTTAACAAGTTTATTTAGTAAAATTAGATGAGTCCAGTGCTGCTCTGAACACTGTTAAACCGGAACTGGAAAGTGAGGGGAAGACACTGTGGTTAGTTCAGGTTCAGTGGGAAATTTGATTTTTTGACTTGAAGAGGAGGAATAGGTTGCAGACTCACGTGTTCAGAAAAAAGTTTTTTTTTTATTAAATCCAGTCTGTGTGGGATGTTCCAGTGATTGTCTTGTTTGATGGAGGGCGGACAGGGTTTTCCCAGACTGCGGTTGTTCCTTGGTGAACGGAGAAGCTGACTGCCACTTAGATTTACTGCGGTACTTGAACAGGTTATTGTGGAGATGAATCCCCTGCTCAGAGAGAAGCACCAGAAAATCCTTGGGGGGAAAGGTTGATCCAAACCACAAACTTGAATCCTCAGCTCAGTTTGGTTCTCAGAAGATCCTTCCAGGGGAGAGAAGGTACAAAACATCCAGTTTGCAGGATGACTTCCTGCCGAGAGGCAAAGACAAAAACAGCGGGGTTAAAACTCAATTAGACAATAACTCAGTTTGACTCAGCAAAACTCAGCTTGGCTAGAGTACCCAAAACTAGCAAAACAAAAACTCAGGTTAGACTCTGCTAAACTAAGCATGGCTAGAGTACCCCAAACTGGCAAACACACTGGCGTCGAGGTAGTGGCAGTTAGCAACTTAGAGCACTCCACAGGTAATGAGGCAACGAGCTGCAGGTGTGCAGGGAGGCCCAATGAGGACGGGGCACCACCTGGTGGAGGAGGAAAGGAAACACAAAAACAGACCACACAAACTGGATTCCTGACACTAGGTCTAAATTAAAATGGCACCTTGCAGGAGTACCGTTGCTGTTTTCACCAAAAATGCAACTTCCGCATCCCTTGAATCCCAAACCTTTGCCCTGCTCTGGCATACACAGCTCTTGAGCCACGCTCTGCATAGGGATAACATGTCAAACAGAATCCTGTTTGGTGTGAACCCACCTTAATATTGCAACGTGATTGGCCAACTCATTTTGCAACAGGCTCGAAGCTACAGGATGGATTGTGTTTGTGAACGGACAAATACCACAAGAATGCAGTTTGCAGGCAAAGTTAGGGCAATACCAACTGTATTTTTGGATATAATGAATAATTCTGTGAACTCATAATTGCAAAACTTGTCTAGAGAATTGTTTCATTTTAATTAAGGTTAATCATGTAACATTGAATGTTCATCTACATGTTGGTTAATAATGATTAACCCCGGCAAGTTCCCAGTTTAAAATGTTGGGGTTTATCACTGGGTGTTTGTTGATATTTAAATGAATGAACTTGTTTAAGGAAAAGTCTGGTCAGCAAGGACCTAAAACTAATACATTCACGTTGATTTAATGAATTTAGCATTAATCAGTAAAAAAAATATAAATAATAAGCCTGAGTAATAAAGAGTCTGGGAGCGGCCATTTTTGCCCAAATATAGTAACACCTCACTTTTGACATCATGGCAGTGACGTCACGGTGCTGTAAGCCTAGCGCCATTCTCCCCGCTTTACAAGCAAAATCAATGGGAACTACTAGACACATCTGCAATCAACAACAATTATTGAAGATTTCCAGAGGACTTCGCCATTGAAATTCACCAGAGCTATAGTGAAACTGACAATGCCCACGTGCGTGGCAGCTGGATGCTGACCGTACTTTTCCTTCTGATTGGATTTTTGAAACAATGTGAAATGATGCATGTTCAGCCTTACAGCTCTGGTTCTAGAGAAGATTTCCAACCATTTAGATGTCTCTCTTATTGTGATCAGGTTGACAGCATGTTTCAGCACAAGAGTCTGGGCGTTAAGATCAACATAAGAGTCAGTAAACTGGTGTTGCTTCACAGCCGCCCGGTAAGTTTGGCTTCCATCCCTTCCTGCATGTTCCTGCATGTTATGAAGGACATAGATGTTTGAAAAACATTTTTTATTAGAAAAAATATTTTTAAAATATATTTAAAGGGGGAAAGAACTACAATTAGTGAATATTTGCAGGACAAATTTCCCCAAATGCTTTAGTTTCTTAAAATTTAAACACTATTACAGTTTTTTTTTTACATAGAAATGTTAGCTTCTAATTTTATGGATTATGACTATGGCATAGTGTGAGGATCAATTTATATATTTGTGTCATTTAGGAAAGTTTGAAGATAAGCCACCATGGGCAAAGGTCTCTGGAGAGCTTTTGTCTGTGGCAACAGCGGGAGTTTGGAATCCCTCGGTACCTTGGTACCAACCGCATTACAGGTGGAAGGTACGGCGTCGCACCGGTGGACACTGCTGTGCTGGTCACCAGGTATGCAACCTGCTCCAGATGATTTAAATTCATTACAAGGTTCCCTCTAGGAAGCTTTTCAAGTCGTAGGGAAATCATATTTAAATGTCAAATCATTCTGGCTTAAACTTGTATATAAATGTTCTCTTTATCAGACAATATTCTCCCAAAAGTTAGAAAATTTCTATTTAAAAAAAAAATCCTGTATCCATATTTAGCTTGTAGCGACATACAGTATGAATATGGGATGCTATCACTGATTTCTGCTGTTAAACTTTGGCGCCAAACATTCACTCCCAAACAGGCAAACAAAAGATTCACATTTCTCACTGATGACACAGTCAGACGTGGTTCAGTGAAACAATTAGGTTAGTGGGAAAACTCACAGGAATGCAGCTTAGCCATGAAGGAAAAGAGAACCAGGATAAAAACTAAGAAAAGAAGCTTAGTAAAGAAATCAACCAGGGTAAATATTTGACTAATGGTGAGAAGGACAAACAAATTTACTTTCAGTTAGTTAAGAAGTTGGTTGCTTTACGCAACTAAATTCAAAGTTGTAAGGAAGTCATATTTAAATGTCAAATCATTCTGGCTTAAACTTGTATAAAAATTTACTCTTTATCAAACGATATTGTCCCGAAATTTAGAACATTTCTATTTTTTAACATCCTGTCTTAAAATCTGTGTTGTTTTTTTCGTTATCTTATGCAGGCCAGTTAGTTATATGTCAGCCCGAACACCTAAATTTGTCCAATCAAATATCAACGGTCATCTGTCAATCACATTTTTTCGGTTAACTGTCTTAATTATTGTAGATCTTCTATCATTCTCCTCTTAAAATATAAAAAATAAATAATTAGAATGAATAATCTAAATAAATCTTGGCATAGAATGACTTCACATTTTATCTAAAATCTTTGTGTTTTTGCAATGATCCAACACCATTTTTCTTTGGTTTCTCTTTCAGGACTGATTTCTGTGTTTATAAAGATGAACCCTGTGATACAGTCGGTGAGTTAAGTTCTAGGTCCTGTTTTTTCCTTATGCTTCTATAATCTTATCTCAAATAAAATCCCACATCAGAATATTGATTTTAATGTATTCTACATTACAATCCACTCTTCTTTTTTTAAAGCCAGAAGGATGGATTGTCATAAGCAGACATAGGCAGATAGCTCTGTATAAACGATCACAGCTTGTATGTGGTGTCGGTCTCCCAGAAAACTCCTGGCTTAGCTTTTCTGATGGGTTGACGCTCCGGTTAAGGCTGCAAAAGTTCCGATTTCTGAACTCCATCACCAAACGCTGTGATGCTCTGACACTCAATGCTCCGCATTCGGACGCTCCACTCCTGATGCTCAGACCCGCCGCACGAGCTGTTGATGTCCAGAATGTGTTCGGTGTGAACGCACCATAACAGTTTGATGTAAAACAGAATCAAAATAAAAGCAGAATGAAAGCAAATAAATATAAAAACATGATAAAATCAGGTTATAAAACAAATCAAACAGTTCGATCACAACCTTAAACTAACGATTCCTCAATTAACAGTTTAACTTCAACAGTTAAAAGCAGCTCTAAAAAGATGGGTTTTTTTTACTTTGATTTCAAAGAATTTAGGCTTGCAGCATTTTTACAGTCTTCTGGATGATTGTTCCAGATAAGTGAAGCACAGAACCTTTTTGTCTGTCAGCTAGGTTTTAAACCAGTCCAGAGCGGTATCAGAAAGGTCGACCCAGTTTTCAAGACGCTCCAAAAAAAATCAAGCCATCAACAGTATCAGACATTCCAATAAAACCATCGCTGTGTTTCTTCCATAGCCTGAATTTATACAGATGTCATTGAACATCTTTATAAAGGCAGTCTATGGGCGGTGGTTGGCATGGAAACCTGACTGGAAGACATCAAATCAGCTGGTTATTGTTAAGAAGGTGTTTAACTTGAAACACAACTTTCTCAATACTGATCAAGGGGAGGGTTTAGATGGGTCTATAGTTCTGCATGTCTACATAAAAAAAATATATATATAATAAATAGTTAAGAAAAATAGTGCAGTGTAGACCAATTTTTTTACAACAAAATGGAAGACAGAAAAATGTATAAATAAAAAGAAAAAAGATAAAATAAAGAAGGGAATGCTCTTTAAAGCTTGTGGGTGTCTTAAAAAAAAGCATTTTAACAATCCTTTTAAATGCATGTTATTGCAGATCAAAACCTGAGCAACCTCCTCTAGCTTCACCAGTCTGTGGCATTATTGTTTTTTGGGCAGTTAGAGGAAACAAGTGTTCGTTAACCCCTATACATTTGATAAATAAACAAATAAAAATATTTAACATTCACTTATTGTTATGTGTATCTAGACCCCCCTGGGGTTCCTGACCCCAACTTTAAGAACCCTGCATCAAGGGTTTAGTGATATAAATTCAGTCATTATTAGAAATGCTAATTTCCCAAGTTCTACAGAAAATATTTTTTTTGCAAAATTCCAAACTGTCCAAACTATGTTAAAAAGATACACAGGCTGTCTCTGGTAGTTCTGTTTTCAATTATATTTTAGATCTGCTAAGTGGTTTTTTTAAAATCTGTTGACATAAGTCTGCTTTAAAACCTAATGACTCATTTGTGTTTCAGGTATAGCTTATCTGGGTGGTGCTTGCAGTGCTAAGAGGAAGTGCGTATTAGCGGAGGACAATGGCCTTAATTTGGCCTTCACCATTGCTCACGAGCTTGGGCACAAGTAAGTTTTCTGTCAGATTCATGTTATTCATTTAGTTTAAATGTAATGAGCAGAAATCTGGGCCATCAGATGCTAATTTTTCACCCTTTTCATCCGTATCCATGTAATTGGACTGAGTCTGTATTCGTTTAATTGGAAATTGAATGCGTTACCTTGAAAAGCAAAGAAAACGCATTTTGTTGCATTGAAAAAATATCTATTTGTCTGTTTTTACTTACAGCTGTATAATTCAGTTTGATTGTGTCAGAAAATCAGGCTCTTTGGCCACAAAGTAATCAAACACAGATTTTTATAATAATAATAATTGAACTTTATTGACCTCGCATTGGAGAAATTCACTCTCTGCATTTAACCCATCCCCTTGGGAAGCAGTGGGCTGCCATTGTGCGGCGCCTGGGGAGCAATCTGGGGTTAAGGGTCTTACTCAGGGACCCAGACTGCAGGCTGTGGGGATCGAACCAGGTCAAAATTCACATTTTGCATCAGATTAAATTTATATTTCAGCACATTTTGAGCTGATATACTGGACCTTTCATTAGCTCAGTTGATGTCACAAACATTCCATTTACCACATCAGACATATTGATAGAGAAATGCAGAATACCAATTACACACTATGGGAATTTAGCATATTTAGCTTGTAGCGACATACAGTATGAATATGGGATGCTATCACTGATTTCTGCTGTTAAACTTTGGCGCCAAACATTCACTCCCAAACAGGCAAACAAAAGATTCACATTTCTCACTGATGACACAGTCAGACGTGGTTCAGTGAAACAATTAGGTTAGTGGGAAAACTCACAGGAATGCAGCTTAGCCATGAAGGAAAAGAGAACCAGGATAAAAACTAAGAAAAGAAGCTTAGTAAAGAAATCAACCAGGGTAAATATTTGACTAATGGTGAGAAGGACAAACAAATTTACTTTCAGTTAGTTAAGAAGTTGGTTGCTTTACGCAACTAAATTCAAAGTTGTAAGGAAGTCATATTTAAATGTCAAATCATTCTGGCTTAAACTTGTATAAAAATTTACTCTTTATCAAACGATATTGTCCCGAAATTTAGAACATTTCTATTTTTTAACATCCTGTCTTAAAATCTGTGGGGGGTTTTTTCGTTATCTTATCCAGGCCAGTTAGTTATATGTCAGCCTGAACACCTACATTCGGCCAATCATATATCAATGGTCATCTGTCAATCAAATTTTTTCGGTCGTAGCATCTTGATTCACATGTTGCAGCTAATGTACGCAACGGTTTAAATAAGAAATAAAAATTGTTTACTTTAATATTGAGTTCTGTGTCTGTGTCTTCAGCAGGCGTAGAGCTAACAGAACTGGCAGCGTTGCGAGGCAAGGGCTCAAACATGTACGGCTGTAAGCCTTCTACACCAAACCAAGCTTCTGCCGCCCTGGTGTCCTCTTCCTTTCCTCCTCTAAATAAAAAATGGATGACGGAGGAGACTCATCCACGACCTCCGACACTAAACTCTCCTCTTCTTGCATTTTTCCACTGTCTATAGTGTTACCTGACAGTGTCGTTTCTGAGTCACCAATTTAGCACTACTTGGTCCCAATGGAATTTCCCATTGGGAAAACCAGTTAGCACTAAGTTGCTAACTGGTTAGCAAGATGCTTCAGACAAACCGGCCACAACCAAACATGCTTACAAACCTTCCGCCACAACAATCCGGCCCCCTTGATAAGCGACCAATAATTCACTTTATTCACTCATGTAAAGTCGTGCACCACTCGGGAGAATTCGGAAATGGGACAGTTGGGACGGCCTTTTCCTTATGACTTTAAGCAGAATTTAGTTTCTAAACGTGGCACGTCGTAGCTGTCACTACCCGATCCGTCCCGGGAGCACAATCCTTCCTGCACATGCCCGAACAAAATAACAAGATTTGGGTCGCCGAAAACTATGTAATAGCGATACTGAAAATTCCTATTTATAGACTTAGAACATAAAAGAATGCTAAACGACATCATCTAGAAAATGTTGAGGACTTTAATGAAAGAAATGGATACGTCATACACACTCCACTTTGTTTTTAAAAGATATAAATATAAAGAATATAGCCGCAGATGTCTGAGGGACAGTGATTCTCTTACATGTTATGAATGTTGGCGTATCATAAATGATAAATTATGAACAGTTTGGTTTGTGCCTTCAAGTCGTTCCCTATAGGAAGACAGTGCTTGGAAATAACCTAAAGGAATTTCTTCAGAACAGCTCCAAATGACACAAAACTCATATGGGTGAGTAGAACATCATGTAATAACATAAAATCAAGGGCCCAATGTAAAAAAAACGGTGTTCCCCTTTAAATAGATTAATTAATTCGCAGGAGGGAAACAGAATTACTTTAGGGTTAGGATAAGGATTCACTTAGTGATAAGAGCCTACTGAGCCTACTGGCACAATCTGAAGGCATTCTATAGGACTGATAACTACTAATAACGAGCATGTGTGCATGCATATTGCTAAGGGTATGCTGGCCTGATACGGTATGCTGAGCTGACAGAACACCGGTTCGCAGTGGGAGCTCAGACTTGGGTTAAAGAAAAAGAGTCTATCTGGATCTAATGACTCCTTTAATGATGAAAGCGACCCTATAAAGTTGCATAGGAAGGTTTCTGAAGTTCTGCATATTGACCTGAAATATCCCTGAATATATCCCAAATTCAGCTACCACCTGGTTCAATAGATACACAGTCTTAATATAGGTGCCTATAGTTCAAGTCAGGTTTTTAAACTTTGAGAATGTCACTTATTAACTCCTCCCCTCCACACGCACACACCCAGCATGGGGATGACCCATGATGACGACCATGCCAACTGCACTAGCCACTCCCACATCATGTCTGGTGAATGGGTGAAAGGAAGAAACCCGAGCAATCTGTCATGGTCGTCCTGCAGCCGCAACGACCTACAGAACTTTCTCAGGTAAGAACAGCTTTGTCTCACTTTTTTAAATTCTTTTATATAACTAACATAATTAAATGACTGAACGTGACTGAAATGAACTGAACTATGAATTGTTATAATTAATTTAACATAATTAGCTGAACACATTTCTAGACCTCTTTTATAAAAAAAATATAATCAGAAATGCATTTAAAGTATAATGTAGGTGTATTTGATTCATTATTCTTTATATGATAATGTTTTTCCTCTAAAACAGATCTGGAGCTAGCATGTGCCTACGTTACACGGACCCCAGGAGCCGTCACTCGATCCGCCTGTCTTCCAAGCTTCCAGGGATGCACTACAGCGCAGACGAACAGTGCCAGATCCTGTTTGGAACCAATGCTACTTTCTGCACCGACATGGAGGTACGCGTGCAGCTCACTCCTTCATTATTTAAGGTTTTATTGGTGCTGTGGTTGGTAGAATTGCTGCCAAGGTTCAACTTGCGTTTTCTGCCATCTGATTACTTTTCCAGTACTACAATTTCCTCCCATAGTCCAAAAACATGATTGTAAGAGAGATTGCAGTTTATGATTAAGTATAGATAAAATATAGTTAGAGTGGCTCAGGTTATCTTGAGCTATCTATATAGTTTTGCTGCTATAGGCTTAGACTGCTGGAGGGCATAGGGACCCTTTTTCATCATTCTGCTTCATTCTATATCTATTCTCCCACTCTGCAGAATCTGTTAGTTCAATCTCTAACGTTCTGCTCTCTCTGCTTTTTCTCATAGTAGCTTTGCCTCGTGTGTTCCTGTTTGGCTGTGGTTTCTCTCCACTGTCGCTACAAGCATGCTTAGTGTGAGGGATTGTCTTTGATTGAATGAGTCGCTGCAATCAACTGGTTTTCCTTGGAAAATTTTGAATCAATTTGACTGTATGATCTTGTGACTGTAAAGTGCCTTGAGATGACATGTGTTTTGAATTGGCACTATATATATATATATATATATATATATATATATATATATATATATATATAAGCTAATATCTGTATGAAACATTGCTGTAAAAAAGGAAAAACATAAAGTAAAAGCGGATCAGATTGCAATGCTTGACCCCCCTTTCTGTCTCCTGTTTGTCTCCGGTGGTTTTCCAGCATCTTATGTGTGCTGGCCTGTGGTGTTTAGTAGATGGGGATCCATCATGTAAGACAAAACTAGATCCTCCTCTGGAAGGAACAGAGTGTGGAACAGACAAGGTATGATTTGCTGCCACGGCAACAATGATTTCTCTCAGGATATCTAATGTTCTGTAATTACCGACTAAAACATATGTGTCCATTTTTACCCTTTGTGTTTATTAGTGGTGCAGAGGAGGACAGTGTGTGAGTAAGGCACCCATTCCTCAACATGTGGATGGAGATTGGGGTCCTTGGAGTCAGTGGAGCATGTGTAGTCGCACCTGTGGCACCGGGGTCCAGTTCAGACAGAGGAAGTGTGACAACCCCCCGTAGGTCACTTTTGTGAGGGAGTTAAGAGGAATTAAACTTGTTTTTTAGGCCTTTAAATAAGTTGTACCTTCTTCTGTGTGTCGGCATGTTTCCACAGGCCTGGCCCAGATGGGCGGCACTGTCCAGAAGCCAGTGTGGAGCACAAGGCTTGTCAAGGCCAGCCTTGTCCCAAAGGGGCCCCGAGTTTCAGAGACCTGCAGTGTCTTTCATATGACCAACATGGCAGCAAGATGAAGGGCGGACTGCTGACTGCTTTTATTGATGATGGTGAGACACAAGCAGACAAACACCTCTTAAATCATCAATGCGGATCCTCATGATCGCTGTCCAAAATCATAAAGGTACATTCACACCAAGTGTGAATTTCACAGCTGGAGCCAAGGGTTCTCTTCTTATTTCTTTGTAGAGGGTGGATCCTGAGTGAAACAAAGTGAAAGTGACAAATTTGGGGAGACGAATGGCATGATTTTGCGCAAAATTGGCGACATTTGATCACCGCTTTGCCTGTGAATGAAGTCGAAGAATCTGAACTTTTGTTGACTTTCGTATTGTGAAATCCAGTCATGGACTAGATGTGGCTTTGAGCTACTGTGAAGGTGCGCAGCGAAGGCAAGATTTTTTTTAAATCAAAAGTGGAATATGAAGAAAATAATGCTGACAAATGATGAAGTAGGAATGCTCTAGAGAGGATTTAAGGGGGCTTTTAAAAAAGCCATATTTAATTTAGCCCTAGAAGGACTGTTTCGTCGTCCTACCTCCAGAGCAGATGGATGCCGTCTCTCCCCAGCTCCGCTGTTTTCTGCCTGGGTAAACCTCACTGATCCTCCATTCATAAGGTGACCAGATTTCTGCAATCTAATTTGGGGACTTTTCCAGCTCATAGATCAAAATAAATACATAAAAAAAAATCCAAATAGGAAACAGGGACAGTGATGCTTTCATTCATTTTTACATATTTATTAATATTTAAACAAAAAGCAAGTGTGGGATCCAGGATTGTACCTCTTCAATTTCCTAAGATAGATAATATTAATCAATCAATAGTGTTTATTAGTGCCATCTGGTCATTCAATCTTCTCTGTCATCTTCCCTATAGAGCAACATAACATTGTATTCAGGAACAGGCCAGTTTGCATCAATACAGAGTCTGTGGGAATTTTCTTCTTTTTCTACCCAAAAAAAGTAACTTTTTTATATATATACAAATTGAAAAACAGATTTTTTTTTTCTACATGATAACTATAAAATAAAAATGGCCTCCAGTTGTTTATGCTGTGTCCTGGACAGCTGCAGTGCATTGGGTCGCCTCCAGCAGCCTGGATTAAAATCTGTGTCACTAATAAAAAAGTTACTTTAGATTTTTATATTCAGATTAAATTACAACCATTAAAACTCATCTATAAATCTGGATCATTCTCATGAGCAGATTGAAGCAGCCACACCAAAAATACAACAATACAGCCATTACATGTATAAATGGATGAAAAATAATCTCTCAGAGCATAAAAATAATGTGTCCTTTAATAAAGTTATAATGAAACCTAATAGGGATATATTTTCACAATTATAAACCTGTTTTCCATTCATGTGTTCATAGATACAGCTGTGCTTTTTGTTTTAAATACACTGTTATTATTTTGATTGGATGTAAATGTGAAGATTATATCATCCTAGTTATCCCTGTTATAAAAATCCACAACAAAAAGAAAATATCTGGGCAGAAGCAACACATATGCTGGATGCTGGTGGGGATTTTTTTTTAATGTCATATTGAATTAAGCGCTTAATTTCCGCATATTTTGATCCTATAAATTTAATAATAATATTGCGCATGCTCTCCTCGAGCTCAGAGGAAGTTGGAGAGGAGCAAGACGGGAGGAACAGCAGAGGCTGGTCTGGAGGGCAGCGGGGCGGTAACAGAGGATGTGGGATTTAAGGGCAGTGATGGGAGTAACGGCGTTGAAAGTAACGGCGTTACTAACACCGCTACCTTTTTTTAGTAACGAGTAATCAAAATGATTACTCTTACTGTAACTATAACGCAGTTACAATTGCCGACACCCCGTTACTGCACGTTACTCAGGTCACACAATTAACCTTTTTTATGATAGGACTCGTGCGCGCGTCATGAGAGAGGAGAGGATGGAGAGTGCGGAGGACTCCAGCGGCAAAACAGCCCTTTCCAGATGGAAATACCGGTGTTACGTCGAGCTGCGTTTCCCCATCAGATACGGTTTCCCCTGCATCTCCGCACAGTGCAGGCGGCACGATTCACTGCGCAAGCGACAGGAAACACTCATGCTCGCTAAAGGCGCGTAACAGCCGCCCTGTGCTCGCGCCACAGGAGAACTATGGAGAGTGTGAACGATCATTAGCGTATATGGAGAAAGAGAGAAAGATGGATGGATGGATGGATGGATGGATGGATGGATGGATGGATGGATGGATGGATATAGCTAAATGTTGCAGGATTTCAGAATTAGACATCCCCAGTTATTAATTTCATACACTCGCAAAAGTAACGCAATAGTTACTTTTACTACTAACTAGTTACTTTTATTGTGGAGTAACTCAGTTACTAACTCAGTTACGTTTTGAGAGAAGTGGCAGCCTAGTGGTTAGGGCATAGGGCTTTGAACCCTGAGATTGGGAGTTTGATCCCCCACTCCCCCAGACTGCACCTCTGGGTCCCTGAGTAAGACCCTTAACCCCACACTGCTCCCCTGGCGCTGCACAATGGCAGCCCACTGCTCCCCAAGGGGACGGGTTAAATGCAGAGATAAATGTGAGAACAATAATGTTCAATTTATTTTAATTCAATTCAATTTCAATTCAGTTTATTTATATAGCGCCAAATTCACAACACATGTCATCTCAAGGCACTTTACAGTTCAACCAGATCATACAGTCAAATTGATACAAAGTTTTCTATCTAAGGAAAACCAGTTGATTGCATTGACTCATTGACTCAAATACAATCCCTCACACTAAGCAAGCTTGTAGCGACAGTGGAGAGGAAAAACTCCCTTTTAACAGGAAGAAACCTCCAGCAGAACCAGGCTCAGTGTGAGCGGCCATCTGCCGAGGCCGACTGGGGTTCAATGAGACAGAAGCAGAGATACAAAAAGCAGCTGTAAAAGGCGGCCCTGTCCAGGAAACACACAGCCAGGCAGACGAGCTCCAAGGCAGCTCCCATGCCAGAGGACGAAGAGAGCACATCCACTCAGTCACGGTCAGAGAAACAGGACCACACTGGAAAACAGGCCGATCTCCAATATCTATAAACAAGGGTGTTGATGGAAGCAGCACAGCTGATGTTTCTTTCCAGGATGGAGTCACAGCCAAACAGGAACAGACGAGGCAAAGCTACTCTGAGGAAAAGCAGAGAGAGCAGAAGGTTAGAGATTGAACTAACAGATTCTGCAGAATAGGAGAACAGAGAGAGAATGAAGCAGAATGATGAAATGGGGGTCCCTATGTCCTCCAAAAGTCTAAGCCTATAGCAGCATAACTATAGAGATAGCTCAGGATAACCTGAGCCACTCTAACTATAAGCGTTATCAAAAAGGAAAGTTTTAAGCCTAGCCTTAAAAGTAGACTATATTTAAGTAACTATAACTAATTGCTTTTTCAAAGTAACGTGCTCAACACTGTTTAAGGGTAACACAGCATAGCTGCGTCCAGCCGGCTGTGATAATGAACTTCCTTGTCTGTTTTAAAACTGGTGCACTCTGTTCCTCAGCTATACGTTAACAGCTGTTTCTGTGCACAGTGTGCTCATGCGCTCTTTCTACCATAATAACAGTTCACGTGCAACATTTCACCCTCATTCATAAAACGGTAAATTCGGGACATTCCTGGAGGCAGCTTTAGCTGGAAACAGGGGGTCCAGAACAGTTCATAACTCTCTGGCGAGGTTACTGACAGGTACAAACAGCAGGGCTCATATCACGCCGATTCTAAAAACTGGCTCCCAGTCTCTTTTCGTTTCCATTTTAAAATCCTGATGCTGACCTTTAGGGCCTTCCTCAGTCAGGCTCCCTCCAACATTAGGGACTTGTTGCGTCCTTATACCCCCTCTAGGAGGCTAAGGTCTCAGAACCTGAACCTGCTCATGGGCCCTCGTGCTCGCTACAGGACCAGCAGAGATCGCTCCTTTCAGGCGTTCGCTCCGACGCTCTGGAACGATCTCCCACGTTTCTTGCGGTTACTTGATTCTCTTGATGTTTTTAAGAGTGAAATGAAAACCTAGTTGTTTAAGAATGCATTTTAATTCCAGTAGATTAAGGGTTGTTTTATGACCGTGTCTTTTGTGACTGTAAATGTATTTTAATTTTGTGAAGCACTTTGTGACCTCTATGTCTGTGAAAGGTGCTATATAAATACATGACTTACTTAGTTACTAAATAAAAAAATACTGTTTATCTTTTACAAGTTTTTTGTTTTGTTTGTGTTTTATTGTAAAAAAGAGCATACAGTATTAAAAAAACAACTAATCTTTTAGGATTTGATTCAAATTCGGGTTGCTTCAGCACCCCGAAAATAGGCAAAAACGCCTTTGTCTTCTAGGCTGTGGTCCCTAAACATGATAGATATGACTCGCATAGATGTTACAATTAAAAGTGGCCTCCTGAATTTTTATTTTTTCTGAGCACACATACAGTCAGGTTTGATTACTGTCTGTTAGTTTTCATTTATTAACATTTTCATGTTTTATTTCAATATTCATTCATAGAATGGTAGTTTAACACCATGAATTGCTTGATGATCTTTGATTTCTCCCTCTGAATTTGGGCTGTGTGTGTGTCTGTGTGTGTGGATGAGCAGATAAGCCATGTATGTTGTTCTGCAGCCCTGTGGATCATAGCGTCCCAGTCCTGATGGCCGATAAAGTTATTGATGGGACACCCTGTGGACCTTATGAGTCTGATCTCTGTATTAAAGGGAGTTGTAAGGTACGTACGCAAAATGTTTAACCAAACCAATTATAGTCTTTAATTAATTACATTAAGTGAGTTTCTTGGATAATAAATACAATTGTTATTTACACTTTAGAGCAAAGGATAGTTATATTATGAAAAAAAAATTAAGGCATCAAAAATCTAAATGTTTAGCAATATATATATATATATATATATATATATATATATATATATATACAAAAAATTAGGCCAATTCTCAAAAACCCACCCTTGACCCAGAAGTCTTAGCCAACTACAGGCCTATCTCCAATCTTCCATTCCTTTCAAAGGTGCTGAAAAACGTAGTTTCTGCTCAGCTTCAGGACATTCTAAAACAAAATGACCTGTTGGAAAAATTTCAGTAAGGTTTCCACAAGGGCCAGAGCACAGAAACAGCCCTGGTCAGGGTCACAAATGGCCTGTTGAGGACAGCAGACGCTGGCTCCCCATCTCTTCTTATCCTCCTGGACTTGACTGCAACAAGTCTCTGAGTCTGTCTATCAATGGTTTTCATCATACCTCTCTGGAAGAACTGAGTATGTCACCTTGGGAAAGGCTAAATCCTTGGCTCACAAGGTCACCTGTGGTGTCCCTCAAGGCTCAGTGCTCGGTCCCACCTTGTTTAATCTGTACATGCTCCCTCTTGGCCATGTCATCACTCACCATGGGGTTTCATTCCATTGCTATGCTGATGACACTCAGCTGTACCTCAGGACAAACCCAACAATTTCTGCTCCTCTGCCACCATCAACTTTGACCACCTGCCTGGAGGAGGTAAAGGTTTGGTTGAAGCACAACTTCCTTCAGTTAAACAGCTCCAAGAAGCCATTTTAGTCGGCACCAGGTTTGTTCATATGACATCAGCAGAATCAGCTTCTCTGGACAAACTCTTCCCCTTTCAACATCTGTCTAGGTGTTAAAATGGACTCGCATTAGGCTTTTTTTTCAGCTGCTCGCAGGCTGTGGAATGCTCTCCCTTGCCACCTGAGGACCCCACAGACTGTGGATGCTTTTAAACGTGGCCTTAAAACCCACCTTTTTAGGAGAGCTTTTAATTGAACTCTTCCCCCCTTTTTTTTATTGTCTTTGATTATTTTATCTTTTCTTTTACTTTTTATCTCTCATGCTCTCCATGTATTTTAATTTAGCACTTACCTGTTTTACAATGTAGCACTTTAGGATTTGTTTAACTATAAAGTGCATACAAGTCCAAAGTATTATTATAATTATTATAAAAAAAAAATTATCAAATAATTTTTTTTTTTGCATGTCAAAAGCAGATCCTCTGTACATTTCAGGCCCACCACCTTTTCCAATTAGTGACAGACTGAGCTGATTGTAGAGTTAATGTAAAGATCTAAGTTTATTAATTCAATTCAGTTTATTTCTATAGCGCCAATTCACAACACACTTCATCCCAAGGTACTTTACAATTCACCAGATCATCCAGCAAGATTGATTCAAAGTTTTATATCTAAGGAAAACCAGTTGATTGCATCGACTCATTGACTTGAATACAATCCCTGACACTAAGCATGCTTGTAGCGACAGTGAAGAGGAAAAACTCCCTTTTAACAGGAAGAAACCTCCAGCAGAACCAGGCTCAGTGTGAGCGGCCATCTGCTGAGGCCGACTGGGGTTCAAGGAGACAGAAGCAGAGATACAAAAAGCAGCTGTAAAAGGCGTCCCCATCCAGGAAACAGGCAAACAGACGAGCTCTGAGCCAGCTCCCATGTCAGAGGGTGAAGAGAGCACATCCAGCCACTCAGTCAGAGAAACAGGACTACACTGGAATACAGGCCAATCTCCAACATCTATAAACAAAGGTGTTGATGGCAGCAGCACAGCTGATATTTCTCTCCAGGATGGAGTCACAGCCAAACAGGAACAGACCAGATGAAGCTACTATGAGAAAAAGCAGAGAGAGCAGAACGTTAGAGATTGAACTAACAGATTCTGCAGAGTGGGAGAATAGAGATGGAATGAAGCAGAATGATGAAATTCACTGATTAGTTCATTGGTTTCAACCCTTTGGCCTATAATATTAGTTTTTTATGCATGCAATCCAAACTGCAGGCACCAGGATAATAAAAGCAAACAGCATATTTCGGCATTTTCAGTTAATTTAGGCTTTAATAAACTGTTTCTGAGGAGTGATCATAGCGATGTGCATCAGCAGTGCTGCCTGTCTCCCTTCCAGCTCCCAGATCAGCGACACGCTGCTTCAGCTGCTCAGACACCGCTGTTCCTGCTGCTCTAGACGCGCTGCAGACAGCATGTGGTTTAGAGGGGTGGTCTGAAGGGAGAGGCATGGTTGTGTATGTTCAAAAATATAGCTTGCTGGAACCGTTTTTCCAAGATCTCCTACAGCACCTTTAAGTACTCAACATTCCCTGTTTTCTACAGAGTGACTGAAACAACTCTTTTGTTTCAGAGGATGATGTGTGGATTGGAGGTTCTTCCATTACTGTGGAGCTATAGAAGCAAAGAACATGTTTTGTAAATGAAAATTTTAGAAAATGCAATCCGGACATGTAGCTTAAAAAAACTTCTTAATAAAAAAAAGGTTTTAAGAGAAACTGTGTTGTTTTCTCTGATTTCATTTCTTCAACTTTTTATTCAATAAAAAAAAAAATCTTTTTAACAGATTGAATATTTTCAAATATTGTTTTCTCTTTCTTTCTTTTTTTAATTAGTTTTACAAATTGCATTATTTTCAAATTCATTCCCAATACAAGCGATCTCTCTTGACCGATAAAGTCAGATGTAAGAGTTTGTATGTTGAACGAAAAAGGGACGTTTTCCCAATACAAATATGTTGTATACTCAGAGACCTATATGATGCGCAATGATGTGTACAACCTGTATGTCTTTATAATATGATTTTGCAACGAATGAATATTCCCTCTTTATATCGTCTTTTGTCATTTACTTGTCCCTGGCAACATGGCTGACGTCATGCATGATTGATGGACCCCAAGTTCAACCTGTTTGTTCCCGTTTGCAGAAAATCGGCTGTGATGGCATCATTGGCTCCTCAGCAAAGGAAGATGCTTGTGGTGTTTGCAATGGAAATGGAGACTCTTGTAAAATTGTAAAAGGAGACTTCAACTACACCAAGGGAATGGGTAGGAATGTCTTTTTTATTTATTTATCTTTCCTTAGACAACAGTTAATCAGTCCTGCCCGAAAACTGCTGAGTTCATGCAGCAGTGATAAAATATTATATATTTTTAAGGAAAGACATAGAAACGTTCTAGTATTTGACAAATATGTGCTAACTGCCAAGAACAATATATCCAACATTTTTAAAGGAAAAGTCCGGTCAGTAAGGAATAATATATTATTATTATTTAAACCTAAAACTAATACGTTGGTGGTGATTTAATGAATTTACCGTTTACCAGTAAAGAAATAAAAACAATATTTTTTGTTGCGATCACTGAGTCCGGGAGCGGCCATTTTTGCCCAAATATAGTAACATCTCACTCCTGAAATCTCCCGGCAGTGACGTCACGGTGCGGTAAGCCTAGCGCCATTCTCCCCGCTTTGCAAGCAAAATCCATGGGAACTACTAGACACATCTGCAATCAACAACAATTATTGAAGATTTCCAGAGGACTTCACCATTGAAATTCACCAGAGCTATAGTGAAACTGACAATGCCCACGTGCATGGCAGTTGGATGTTGAAATATATCGGGTAAAACTGAAAAAAAAAAAAAGAGTTATTCCACCTTTCTGATTCCTGATCCTCCACGGACGAGTTGGTCGTTGGATTGCCAACTTGAAGAGGAAGGATTTGCCATCGAACTTCTGAACAGAGAAAAAACACGTAATATGTAGCCAACATTTGGAAGAAGAATGTTTTCAAGATGACTTGGATAATAGCGCGTTGTGACAAACACCAGATACAGCACTGGGACTTGATCAACAGCCGATACCGCACCGTGACGTCCCAAACCAGTAGGTGGCAGTAGTGCAGTAGTAAATGAAGGTAGTAATTCTGAACTGTTTCGCCACAGTTCACAAAAGGAATATATTTTCATTCTTGGTTTTTTTTTTATGGTTTAATGCTGACAGCGGGTTGCTTAGTGGCGCAGTGGGTAACACTGCTACCTTGCAGCAGAAGGGTTCTGGGTTCAATTCCTGGTCTTTCTGCATGGAGTTTGCATGTTCTTCTTGAGCAGGCGTGGGTTCTCTCTGGGTACTCTGGCTTCCTTAAACAGTCCAAAATCATGACTCTTAGGCTTCTCCAAATTCCTAAGTTGTCAGTGTGTGTGTAAATTGTTGTTTGTCTTAATTGTCTCTGTGTTCCCCTGCGATGGACTGGAGACCTGTCCATGGTGTACCCCACCTCTCGCATGTGCACAGCTGGAGATAGGCACTAGCACCCCTTGTGACCCTGCTTGGGATAAGCGTGATGGAAAATAGATGGATGGATGCTGACAGCTCTGCAGGAATAGAGATCACAGCTTTGATGCAGTAACTGTCACCCAGATTTCAAAGCTGAAATCTTGCCCTTGTCCCTATGAGTGCCTCAAGACTGGTTAAAACTTTCTGTAAGACCTCTTGATGCCCCTGGGAGCACGTCCAAACGCATTGGTCTGAACAAACCCTTAGAGATGAGATGAAAAGCCCAGCTATCAGGAGAGGCTCAGAGTAGAAATGCTTCTCCTTTACATTACAGAGTCTGCAGAGGCGGCTCAGACTTCTTCTTTAATTTTAGCAAGAATTGCATTTATAGTTTGCAAATATTTAAAGTTTAAAATTTTTATTTATTTGATATTTATGTGTTTAAAATAACATTAAACACTAAACAACTTCAAAGACAAAATAAGTAGATTATATTTGCCGTTGTGCAGAATACCAGGAAATGCGGCGTGGCAGCAAAATAATGTGTCGATATCCTTTTTAGGACTATTTGAAGTTTCTGACCTGCTGCCTTTCTTTTGATTTGGTTTCCAGAACTCAGTGATGATAACACAGTCAGTGTTGACATCACTGAGCCGTTCCCCTCCACCGGTCTCTGTTCCTGACTGTTTTCTCTTCTTCTTCTTCTATCAGGCTACATTGAGGCTGTGGTGATTCCTGCAGGAGCATGGAGAATCAAAGTCATGGAGGACAAACCTCTGCAAAGCTTTCTGGGTAATGTCTATAACAGGGTATAATTAAGCTCTTGAAAAGTGTTTGTTCAAATAATATGTTATAGGAGGTAGATCAATTTTAATTAAGATTAATTTTATAGTATCAATTTAAAACAAATATTGTCTCAAGACTCTTTACAGACACAATTCAATCAGTTATGTAGTCTAATAGATGAAAAGTCTCTATCTGAGGCAAACCAGCTGATTGCATCCAGGCATTTCCCCCTGGATGAGCAGGTAGAGATATTTACATGCATTCCGTCTTTGACTCTACGGTAGTCCGTCATTCATCCAGCAGCAGCGGAAGTAGAGAAAAAAATTCTCCTAACAGGAAGAAACCTCCAGCTGAACCAGAACCAAGCTCAGTGTGAGCGGCCATCTGCTGAGGTCGACCTGGGTTCAAGGAGACAGAAGCAGAGATACAAAAGCAACATAGAAGCACTGATCTAAAAACACTTTCTATGTTAGAAAAGCTAACAGTAAACTAGCTCCACAGGTGTCTCTGTCTGGGAAACAAAACGGTTAGTCAGACGAGCTCTGTCCCAGTTTGTATCTCGCGAGATGAAATAGAAAACATCCAGTTAGTCACAGTAAAGTGAAGCCGATAGCTATGGCTAGTAGAGAAACAAGACTGAATCAGTTGACTTCATCTATATCATCTATAAAAACTCTATCATCTGTAATCTAAGGTAGAGGTCTTCAACAGGAGGTTGGCGACCTCTAGGGAGTCCACAGAGGTACTGCACGAGGGTCGCTAAAGTTTTGGTTGATTAGACTTTTTTTATTATATTCCCCCCTGGCATTTTATTGAAATGTCTTTAAATAAACAGTAACATGAATTCAACACACTGTAGTAAACAGATAAATGGAGGCAGAAGATGTCTTTCAGTCATCAATGCACACATTCAGAGACACACAGGAGCTCTTTCAAGCTGGGCACCGTTTCATTCACAGCACCTGTCCCATCAACCAGAAATCAGAATCAGAAATACTTTAATAATCCCAGGGAGAAATTACTTTCATTACATTACTCCATCTGTAATAGATTGACTATATGACCAGTTTGATAGAACACACTTTCATATAATATATATATAATTAGGGGGTCCCTGCTCCATTTTGCCATCGGTTTGGGGGTCCTTGGCCTGGAAAACGTTGAAGACCCCTGATCTAAGTTGTTGATGGCAGCAGCACAGAAATTATTCCCATTCTTTGTTTCCCAACTGACCGTTTCTCAATTCACAAGAACACAAGTACAGACCTCACCATTTATGTTCTTGAGAAGAACAGAGGAAAGTGTGGAGTTAGGGAGAACAGGAGCACAATGACTCAATTTATTCTAAGTTGTTCTAAATTGTGTTTTATTTAGATTATTTACAAGGAAGCAAAAGTGACCTACAGTTAATCTTTGAAATGTCTGAACTTTAACAGAGGGATGCACATCCTTTCTCATGTCTTAGAGATGAAATGAATGACAAATACTGATTTTATTATATATATATTGTTCCAGTGTTTTTATTGTCATCACAGTTTCACAAGTACAGAGCAACGAATTTAAGTCTCTGCATCTAACCCATCCCCTTGGGGAGCAGTGTGATGCTATTGTGTGGCGCCCGGGGAGCAGTGCAAGGGTTAAGGTTCTTTGCTCAGGGACCCAGAGTAGCTGTGGGGGGCCGTGGGAGTGGGGCTCGAACTCAGAACCTCAGGATTCCAAGCGCGATGCCCTAACCACTAGGCCACCACTTTCCCAAAGGGGAATAAATTATAAATAAATCTGACTGACCTAATCCAATCACTGATTTCCTTATAGCTCTGAAAGACTCCAGCAAGAGATCCATCAACAGTGATTGGAAGATTGAACTTCCTGGAGACTTTGAGCTGGCTGGGACCACGGTGCGTTATGTGAGAAGAGGACTGTGGGAGAAAATCTCTGCCAAAGGACCGACTAAAACTCCCTTACACCTGATGGTAAGCAGCCAGCGGGTCCTTCCACATGAATCAAAGATGTCCTCTGTCTGTATTTATCCAAACATTGGGGTGGGAAGCTAATGTGAAACATAGGGTTATTAAGGAAGCAAAAAGTTATTCATGAAGCACCTTTCAGTAACTGCTAAACAAAAAAAATCACAATAAGTTAAAACATAGAATATACTCACAGGCTATGGGAGAATTTACTGGATTCAGTAAGAAATGAATAACTTGGAGGCATGAAATGAAACTTTTTCCTTTTACCTGCAGTAACCTAAACAGGATGACTCAAATATAAATAATATTTGCAAGATCAGCTCCAGAGACCGTTATTGTCATGAAACGGACAGATGGACCCAGTATTCAAGGTGAGACAGTCAGTAGGAAAGTTCAGCCAATGAGCTGCCAACCAGACGCGGCGTGCGTCGCCCAGAGTGTCCCTGATGCTGAAGCTCCAGAGGACTTGCAGGAAGCCGATCCAGCAAAGGGAAGATGGAGCAGAAAGGAACAGTTCAGGAATCCAGGAAACCTGCGCTCGATCAGAGGTTCTAACCCAAACAGAGGGATCCAAAGCCTTGATCCAAAGGGATCCAGGCTTCCAGGAATCCTTAGAGCGTGAAGGAAGGTTCGGATTCATACGAGTCCAGAAGCGTACCAAGACGGACACACACAGACACAGACAGGCAGAATCCAGTAGGTGTCCAAGGATGGTTCAGGCGAGTGGGTGAGAGTAGCCTGACATAGTCCTACTCAATTCTAGACAGAATATGAGTCTGACACTGCTCCATAGAGCTGTGATTATGGGGTGTGTTTCGAACGAGCCAGGAAAAAAAATGCCTCTGCACTCAATTGGATAGACCTACAACCAATAAGAGCAAAGGAGTGCGTGACGTATGTTAAGCAACCAAGGGAGCCAGCTGATAAATTAAACTTTTGCCGAATCCCGTATGAAGGACGCCAAAAACATCTTTCTTTTCAACAAATGCCGTGATCGCGTTTCTCTGTTCCTCTTTTAAAATTAATTTGCTGTCGATATCTTCTAGAACAGACCTAATAGCAGAATCTATATACCTCAACTCTCCAGCGGCAGCCATTGTTGTTGTCACCCAAGCGCGCTTTGGTGATGTGGTTGATTATGTTCCTGTTGATCATCTGTCCATCATCGTATAAAGCCCGCCCTGACAATTTGATTGGCCCGACCAGATATTGGGCGAGCATACTCACGCTACTGTTGAACAATGCCAGACCGAACTTCCCGACCTCAAACGTTGTGGGCGGGACTATGTTCAGAATGGCACCCAGGCTAGGGTGAGAGGGAACGGGATCAGGAAATCAGAATCACTCGGGAAACGCTGAAATGGTCTCACCACTGGTTAGAGCTCATGACCCGCGGCCATTTTCAAAGAACCGTGGTGTGAAAGGTGAGCTTCAATGACTGCCTGAAACCGTAGCTCACCATAGATATACACCTGAAAGTGCGCAGGCACAGAAAAACATAGCTAACTGTGGACAAGCATGTGCAGCAGAGTGTCTGCAAAAGGGGCGGGGACATCTCTGCATTCATCGTGACACCTACACAGACAGCCTAATTTCGAAGTATAAATCAGCCTTACTGGAGCCAAGGCATCATTTTTAACCTGAAAACTCTTTCAAGCCTTACATGCATGTCCCGGCTGTCACATTACCTAGATCTACCTCTGTAAATCTTCTTCTGCTCTGCGTGGTTCCACTGCATCATTTTTAAGTCGCCGTGGTTCCCTCCTCCTTCAGGACGAGCTGTAACTCCACTTTGCCCTTTTTAGAGCCCATCCTTTCTATGACTCCATCCAGCCACAGGGGGGCGACCTCTCGATACTCATTAAATCTGCCACAATAAGCAGATCGAGCTCTTGGTCTTCTGCTGGGGTCTGAGCTCCAGAACAATATTTCCATTCAGTTCAATAATGTTCTGACTGTGAGTCTCTCCAGGTTGAACTGAACATCATCCGCCTTATCAAGCCTTCACAAGCTTTGACCTCACTGTGGTTCTCTTTGCTGTCCCCTTAGGTTCTGCTGTTTCATGACCAGAGCTATGGAATCCACTATGAGTACACCATACCTCTGAACACAAGCCAGGACCGGGTCAATGAGAAACAGACGGAGCCACAGAGCCTCTATATCTGGGCTCACAGCAGCTGGCAGAACTGTACTGTCCATTGTGGAGGAGGTAAGAGATCCACATGCTAAACACAGCCGCGCAAAAATAACCACATCCTGTGAAATTATTTCCCACTTGATCATAAAACAAACCGAGATCATCAGAAGCCTGGACTGATAAACATCTCTGGGTCTGCTCAAGCATTCAGGCTCCTTTGGTTGGAAATGAAGGGCCAAAAACATAATTAGACAATTATTGACTGGTCTACTTTATACCACTGCATACGATGCTCTGCATTACCCTTGGTGATGTATGGGTTGGATGCAACAGGTCTGCCATGGAAAGTTATTCCAAAAAGCTCTTTCAAGCTAATCAGAAAAAACATGAAGTTTGCAGGCCGTTAGCGATCGTTCCTTCAGAAAGCTGGCAAGCGCTCAAAATGTGCATTTCTATCCATCAGTTTTCTAAAACCTCCAGTTTGTTATAACACCATTAACAGATGATGTCAGGAGAGAGGAACATTTACGGCTCGACTTCCACAAGTTTCACAAGTAACATCCTCCCACACTTCCCTGCTAGCATTAACTGAGTTCCTGAGGAGGTCAATTCAATTCAGTTTATTTCTATAGCACCAATTCACAACGCATGTCATCTCAAGGAACTTTACAGTTCACCAGATCATCCAGTCAGATTGACTCAAAGTTTTCTATCTAAGGAAAACCAGTTGATTGCATCGACTCACTGACTGGAAGGCAATCCCTCACACTAGGCATGCTTGTAGCGACAGTGGAGAGGAAAAACTCCCTTTCAACAGAAACAAACCTCCAGCGGAACCAGACTCAGTGTGAGCGGCCATCTGCTGAGGCCGACTGGGGTTCAAGGAGACAGAAGCAGAGATACAAAAAGCAACTGTAAAAGGCGTTCCCGTCCAGGAAACACACAGCCAGGCAGACGAGCTCCGAGCCAGCTCCCATATCAGAGGATGAAGAAAGCACATCTAGCCAGTCACAGTCAGAGAAACAGGACTACATTGAAAAACAGGCCATTCTTGAACCCTTTATAAAGCACCAATTCACAGGACACAATCAACTCTAACCTTTTCTTAGGAGGTTTATTTTATTGTATTTATTTTATTTAACTTTTTTAAACCCGTGGCCTTGGAAGTGATTGAACTCCATTTTAACTGTATTGATGAGCTAGTGCAGGGGTCCTTATCTCCAGATCTCAGGGTCCAGTCTCCTGCACCTTTTAGATGTTTCTCAGCTTTAACGCATCTGAGTCAAATGACCAGGATACCAGCCCTCAAGACCTGGACCTAAAGACTCCTGAGTTAGCAAGTAGTTTAGGTAATATATAGTGCATTTTTTCACCTAGCTGCTGGCACCCTAGATTTCCTCAATAAAAGCAATAAAGGTTAAATGTATTCTAGTCTGTTCTGATACTAATGTCCCTGGTTTTACTGTCAATTAATGGATAATTTTGATTGATACAAACAAGAGCAGGAATGAGCCTAAATGCTAAGATGGAGTCGATAGAATCACTGAATGTTTTCTAGATTTTAGGAGGAAAGGAGCCTTAAATGTTTGTGTTTGTGTGCACAGGTGAGAGGAGCACAGTGGTTTCCTGTATGCAGATAGTCAATGGCAGCATGGAAGTCGTCAGTAATGACTATTGTCGCTCCGAGACCCGGCCCCGGCCCAAGGTGCAGCACTGCAACACTCTGCCCTGCCAATACAGGTAAGCCTCCCAGAGACACGCCCACTTTCAGAAACACGTTCATATTCAGACCTCTGTTTCATAGACTTACCATTGACTTCCATTGCGCGTCTATTGACTTCCATTGACTTTGGTTTGGTTTTCTATGGTGCCCAATGGTTAGAGAAGAATTAATATATGGGGCTGAAACAATTAATTTGATTAATTAGTTATTGACATAATCATCACCTAATTCAGTAATTGATCAATCGTTAAGTGGAGTAGACAGACATGCAATTAGCTGAACGAGCAACCTGTTCCGAGTAGTAATTTTCCTTAAACCATAAAGTTATATTCAACTGCTTTATTTAATCTAAAAAGATAATGTGGTTTGTGAATATTAGGTGGCATAGTTTTAGCTTCACATGGTTTAAGTTCTGCATACATCTCATTTAAAGCGTCTTTTGCTTTCTAATTATTAATTGATTAATCTAAAAAAATTGACAGATCAGCACCAAAGCTGCCGCTTTACTAATATAAAACATTGGTAAATATTGGTTATTGGAATAAATGGATATCAGTTATCGGTATATTTGTGTCATTTCATCAATACTAATATGTAACTTTATCTGCATGCTCTCTATAAAGTTATGTGTTTAATGGTTTTGCTGTCTTTGGCTTCTGCTCCTCCTTCTGTACCAACATTTCCTCCAGTTTCCTTTAAACTCTTTTCGTTTGCATAATCTCTGTGCAGCAAACAGCTCTGGTCATTTACAGGGTTGTGTTGCGTTAGTAAATCATATATTCCACAGATCTGCTTTTGTAGTTTCAGAGTAAAATAAACATTTGTAAACGTTTATGTTTTATTCTCTGGTGTTGATTTCTAAATTGTCATGTTCCATTTTATTAGTTTTACTTGGAAAAACTCGATGATTTTGTGTTTTAATTGAGGAAGCTTACCCAGGAGCATAGGTGACAGACGGGTCTTGCATCGGATTATTAGCGGCAATGTTGAATGTTTTTGTCCCCATTAAAGGAACTTTATTTCACACTAAAACTGCTTTACCTGACATTTTCCACAGGTGGATGACAGGTGAGTGGGGACCCTGCTCTGTGTCCTGTGGTCGGGGTCTGCAGCAGAGAGAGGTGTCTTGTGTTTACCCCTCACTAAATGGCTCACTCATGCACACCAAGGACTCGTACTGCAATGGAGAAAAACCTAAGGTCCAACGGGGCTGTGAGGTCGACCCCTGCCCTTCGACGTGGGAGGCTTCCGAGTGGTCAGAGGTTAGGCTTAACCATTTTCTTAAAGTCGTAGGGAAGTCATATTTAAAAGTCAAATGTACTCTTTATCTTTATCAATCTTATATTAACGGTCATCTGTCAACCAAATGTTTTTGGTTGTTGCATCTTGATTCATGTGTCACAGCTAATATACGCAACGGTTGAAATAAGAATAATTTCCTTTCCCATTGAGTTCCGTCCCAGTGTTCGCGGGGATGGACGTCTGTGTCTTCAGCAGGCAAAGAGCTAACAGAACTGGCAGCGTTGCGAGGCAAGGGCTCAAACATGTACGGCTGTAAGCCTTCTACACCAAACCAAGCTCCAGAACATCTTTGTCCCAGCTTTCCTCATCTAAATGAAAAATGGATGATGGAGGAGACTCATCCACGACCTCCGACACTAAACTCTCCTCTTCTTGCATGTTTCCTCTGTCCATAGCGTTCCTTGACAGCGTCGTTTCTAAGTCACCAATTTAGTGCTACTTGGTCCCAATGGAATTTCCCTTTGGGACCTACTAGCACTAAGTTTATTGAAGCCTTTAATGGCCAAGCTCCATCTGATATCAGAGATCTGATTGTTCCTTATGTTCCTAACAGACAACTTTACTCTGAATCTGCAGGTTTACTAGTGGTTCCTAGAATTTCTAAAAATAGAATGGGAGGCAGATCTTTTAGTTATCAGGCTCCTCTCCTGTGGAACCAACTACCAGTTTTAGTCCGTGAGGCAGACACCCTGGCTACTTTTAAGACTAGGCTTAAAACTTTCCTTTTTAATAAAGCTTCTAGTTAGAGTGGCTCAGGTTATCCTGAGCTATCTCTATAGTTATGCTGCTATAGGCTTAGACTGCTGGAGGACATAGGGACCCCTTTTTCATCATTCTGCTTCATTCTATCTCTATTCTCCCACTCTGCAGAATCTGTTAGTTCAATCTCTAACGTTCTGCTCTTTCTGCTTTTTTTCATAGTAGCTTTGCCTCATCTGCTCCCGTTTGGCTGTGACTCCATCCTGGAGTTAAATATCAGCTGTGCTGCTTCCATCAACACCTTTGCTTATAGATGTTGGAGATCGGCCTGTTTTCCAGTGTAGTCCTGTTTCTCTGACCGAGACTAAGTGGATGTGCTCTCTTTATCCTCTGACATGGGAGCCGACTCGGTGCTCGTCTGCCTGGCTGTTTGTTTCCTGGATGGTGCTGCCTTTTACAGCTGCTTTTTGTTTCTTTTGAGTCAATGAGTCGATGCAATCAACTGGTTTTTCTTTAGATAGAAAACTTTGAATCAATTTAACTGGATGATCTGGTGAACTGTAAAGTGCCTTGAGATGACATGTGTTGTGAATTGTGGCTATAGAAATAAACTAAATTGAATTGAAATTGAATTAAGTTACTAACTGGTTAGCAAGATGCTTCCGACAAACCGGCCACAACCAAACTTGCTTGTAAACCTTCCGGCACAACTACCCCCTTGATAAATGACCAATCCCATTCACTTTATTCACTCGTGTAAAGTCGTGCACCACTCGGGAGAATTAGGAAATGCAACGGTTGGAATAGCTGCTTCCCTACGACTTTAACATTATTTGGATTTTCTTCTACACTAACCACAAGAAAGAAATATGGCATGTAAATATACATTCTTGTAAACAAAATCTATTTTACATAACAGTAATGTTACATTCCTGAACATTACTCCCCTGATATTTTCCAGTGTTCATCAGAGTGCGGTCAGGGTGTTCGCAGAAGGACAGTGCGGTGCAAAAACCCAGAAGGGGGCTGTGATCCTTCCTCTGAGCCAAGTCAGGAAGAGCCTTGTGAGAACGAGTCTGGATGCTACCAGTGGAGATTTGGAGACTGGTCCAAGGTATGAATCAATGTAACACCTTGGTTACTGTACGGTTAAAGCTGAGCTTAGGATGGAACCCGTATTAGTCTGCCAAGAATCGGTTCATTGAGAAAATTAGTTTTTTTATTTATTTACTAGTAACTCAATATGTACGCAAAGAGGTTTTTCTTTATTGGAGTTTTTGTAGATCAATTTATTTAATCAATATTGGTTGGTGTTTGAAAACAATTAGCTTTACGAGGCATTGCTGGGCGGTTGGGCTTTAATAATCATCATCTGGCCTTCTTCTTTTAGTGCCAGCAGATGGCGTCACTTCTGTTTATGTCTGCTCATTGTACCTGGTCCTGGAATTCTAGCTAAACACTAGCAGGACAGCTGAGTGTATATAACCTTATTTTATCATGATCAAAGGATATTCGTATAAATTGACTATGTACATTTAATCCTTCCATTTATTAGCAATACTTGACCTTTTTTGTTCTTTGTCTCCATGTCCCCCAGGATAATACTTACCTTCAATTCAATATTAAATCCTTGCTTAGTCTCTGAGGAGTTTTCCAGTTAAATGTATGATTATAATGTTCACAACAAATTAAATGAAAATAGAGCAAATATACAAAATAAAATGTGTCACCTGAGGGAAACTCTGTTTTTCAGTATTTTTTCCATCTGTGGTGCAGTGGTTTGTTGCAGGTTGGTTTGTTGACCAACCTTTAGGGAGTTTTTCCTTCCTGCAGCTTTTCTACAGATAGCCGTATGTTGGACATAATGAATAACTCTCTCCTGTTATTTCAGTGTTCATCTACATGTGGAAAAGGTCTGCAATCACGAGTGGTGCAGTGTATGCACAAGGACACCGGTCGTCATGGAGACAGCTGTCCGTTAATTTTGAGGCCGCCGATTTACCGATCCTGTTTCCGGGAATATTGCTTCAATAAAGGTGATTTGTATGGCGTCAGGATTCAGGCAAAAGTCAAAACATGCAATAAATACTAAATACTTCAAGCAGCTTTACTTCATACAGTCGCCCATAAACTGCTCATGCGCATGTTTAAGGTTTTAAATGCTTCTCAAGAACATACTTGGCGAGAACACGAGTCCGTACTCACGTTCTTGTGAATTGAGAAACAGCCAATGTTATATCTAATGAGGACTTTGCAGTTAGCTTGAAGTTGCTTTGCTAATAGGAAGAAGAGTACAAGAGTATTTATTAGACATGTGGATTTTTGGCAGAATTCTGACGCCATACTGTAGATGTGATCCAGATTCCTCTGATCTGTAGCTTGAATGTTTCTGAGCTCGTTAGCTTCCTGTGGCTCAGTTAGCTTTGCTTTTCATTTTGGTGTTTCTGATCTAAAACCAACAGATGCCTGAAGGAAAGCTGATTGGATAAGCTGGTTTTGCTCTGCAGCCCCACAGCTGATTGAGGAGAAGAGAAGAACGTTTCTCAGCAGCTGCTTGTATGGAGTCAGCTTCTCTCTGTTTGGGAGTGAAAAGGACCAACAGGGGGCCAGTCCCTCCCCCCTTCATAGCTTTTAATTTTTGGTTTCCTTATAGTAAGTGTTTAACATTAAAGCAGTGGTTCCCAAAAAGGAGGCGCCTCCTATGGGGGGCTTAGTGTAATTACAGGGGTTTGGGGAGGTCAAGGTAGACCTAAACTGGATGGAAATTTGAAAAAAGGAAAATCAATCTATCAATCTCAACTTGATATTTTATATTTTATTCTTCAAATTTTTTTATTTATTTTATTTTTTTTTATAGATTTTATATTTTTTTATGTTTAACCCTTTATAGAGCACTCAGTGAAATACTTTGAAAATCTAAATTTCAAGTCAAAAGTATTGGAATCCAGGACAAGACCTTATTACATTTGGAACATTAAAAAATATGGATATTAGGATGGCAACAATTTATGTCAATGTAATAACAAAAAACACCAACTTTCCTGAATATATTAAGAAAAAAAAACAAAAGAAATTCATGAAAAACACTCTGAGTAAAAAAAAATAAAAATGTTTTGGTGCAATAGCAATATAACCTTAGAGGCATTAATGTTGATACTGGCACTTATATGTTTTAGTTTGTAAACCTAAATATAATTGTTAAGTAGGCTTATTAAGTTTTGAACTTTTCAATTAGCTTTTTACCTTTTTTTCTTGACTTAACTTTTTTTTCTTACTTAATTTACAGTAGGTAATATATCGTTTAAGGGCTCATTTAATTGGTCAAATGCCAAAATAAGATGTACAGCCATGTAGGTTCTTTACTGAATGGCTGGATATAGATCTAGTGCTTCTAGAAGTTGCTGGGGGGGCACTCCATTTGTAAGAGGTTGGCAAAAGATCAAAAATGCTAACTTGCCCTATAAAGGGTTAAAAGATTTTCTAATTAGAATGATTCTCTTTTTAATTTTAATTTCTGTTTTTCCTAGTGAGTTTTTCAGACCACAGAGCCCAAAACTGTTCCCTCTTGACCAATAAAAATTCTGTTACTAACGATCAGCAGACCAATCCAGATGCGTCTTTCCTCCTCCAGGGGAAAGCCCGCCCCCAGAAGTGAATAGAACGAGATCTGGAAAAATGCATTTATGAGGAATTCATGAAACTTGAACTGAAAAAAAGAAATTTAAAGAGAATTAAAATATTAAATCTTTAAATAAAATAAAAACAGAAAATACAAAATTTGAGAAAAATCAGTAAAAAAAAAAATTAGGATATAAAATATAAATAAATTTGAAAAGAAAAGAAGAAAAGGCTTTTACTACATATTACTGCAGTTGACGTTGACAGGTGTCCAAAGGGGGGTTATCAAAAATGTTCTTTAATTGGGGGGGCATCAAGAACAGTTTGGGAACCACTGCATTAAACCACAATGTGAAAAACGTTTCTATGGTTAAACTAATCAGAAATCTGGAATTTGAAGCGATTCTTCTGTTCCATGGATTCAATTTCCACTTAAACTGCTCTGTTATGGAGGACCAGTTCTACCATATGTAAAAATGAATACAGAAATAAATAAATGCTCAATAAATAAATGGGCAGAAGGTGACCCTCTAAGACACTCCCCCTCCTCATCTGCATAATGAGGCAGAAATGGAAACAGAAATGTAAAATCGACAGGCAGAAATAAATAGCATTGAAGAAATAATTAGAGTAAAAAAAAAAATACAAAGGAAGAATAAAACAGACACAATTATTATAATATGTACATAAATGAATACTTAAAAACATAGGTAATTAAAAAAAAGGTTGAAGATTATATTACAAAGGTGAATAAATAAAGAAGTTAATTAAAAGAGATATATACATTTATGTCTCAATTCATAATTTAATTTCTACCTACATTTATTTTTTTTATTTTTTTTTTGGGGGCAATTAATTATGCTTATTTATTTATTGAGCATTTATTTATTTCTGTTTTAAATTTTAAATATGGTAGAGGTGGTACTCCATTCTCTATAGATAAACAAAAACAACAAAAGAAGACTTGATCCACCTTTTTAAACTGTCTTAGTAGATTTTAGGTTTATTTTAATGCTGACGTTGTGTGGGAGTGTTTGTCTTTTTAAATACTGGTGCTATAATAATAATACATTTGACAGAGAACTGATACCTAAACTCTACCTTAATGAATATAAAGAAATATTGGTTTTATCTAAATGAAGATCGGAATCAATCTTCTGTGACAGTGAAGAACTTTATTTTCCAGCGCTGCTGTAATCTGCTAATATAACCATATAAGGAACATTTTAAGTGTAAAAAATACATGATATGAATATACTTAATCCATTTTGTTTAAATCTAAATAATGTGTAACCTAATCAGATATGTTTTGCTGTCGTTTTATATCAGTTTGCCATGTGTTCTAAATTAAAAGGATCTTATTGCTCATGGTGAACAAGAAAACAAAAGATCAATAAGAGTATTTTATAAATTAGCAGGCAGCTAACTATCCTAGGTCTGTCATTTCATTAAATACATCTAAAGGGCTTTTTCTAATTTGCAGAAGTAACAAAAAAAAAAAAATTGTGTATTTTTTTTTTTTTTTGCCAATACAAAAGTGAACTTTTATTTTTGTATATTATACAGATCTTTTAAAGGGATCCATGACTAGTTGAACATGTTGGCCTATTTACTTAAAATTAGCTGTTTGTGATACATAAAATATCTTCAAAAATCATAAATCCTTTGTTATATTCTTCACCTATGGAAGTCTCCATTTTTTCTCCCTGTGCAATGCATGCTGGGTAGCTGTTTAGGTCAGACAGGACTAGAACAGATTAAATACAGGAAGGCTAACATTAGTAGAGCTGTTTTTTATCATATTGCATTTCTTCAAAGTTTTATGAGTCGTTATACATGAGAAATCAGCTGAAACCAATAAATGTGATTGGTTTGTGATCTACTGTTTCCTATATTAGCTAGTGCTAGCACCATTAGCGGAAGCTAACATAAAATCAGAGTGGAAGAAAATGAAAGACTGTTTAAAGTGACAGTGAAGCATCTCTCAGTCGTTTTAACTCATCGTTCTGATTTATCTGAGAAAATGTTTGATCCTCATGCTAACCGCTAACAGCCTGAGTTAGAAACTGGAGCTCTGGGTTAGCATCTCCTAGCAGCAGCCAAACAAACACCAGCTTCTTCAGCCAAGTCTCCCCTCCCATTCCTTATCTTCATATCCTCGTGATTTCTACTTGGGCTCTGGTTTAAAGTGAATTCAATTCAGTTTATTTCTATAGTGCCAATTCACAACAAAGGGAGTTTTTCCTCTCCACTATCGCTACATGCATGCTTAGTGTGACGGAAACTTTGAATGAATCTGACTGGATGATCTGGTGGAACTGTAAAGTGCCTTGAGATGACTTGTGCTGTGAATTGGTGCTATAGAAATAATCTGAAGTTAATCTGATAATACTGACAGGATAACCTGATTTAGTGTTTTTATAACTTTCTTTTCTGACTGTCCCTCACACTAAGCATGCTTGTAGCGACAGTGGAGAGGAAAAACTCCCTTTTAACAGGAAGAAACCTCCAGAAGTACCAGGCTCAGTGTGAGCGGCCATCTGCTGAGGCTGACTGGGGTTCAAGGAGACAGAAGCAGAGATACAAAATATATCACACCTAAGCATTGCATGCAATGTATTTCTCCATACATGAGGCATCTTAAAGCAGTCATTGCCAACAAAATCTTTTGTACAAAGTATTTCGATAAGTGTGTTCAATACTTTTTCCCTGTGCCATTATTGTACACAATTTAATTTCTGGAACTCTATAGCTTCATTTCTTTGTATGTGTGGATCGCATGGATTGTTACTGACATCTGTTGTAAACGTCATGTCAATAGCACATTTTTAAAACATTTTTACTAAAAGAAATGGTGCTGTGTTCATTACTTATTTTGCCCCCTATGCATGTACAATATGTACATGCATAGCGTGTATGTTTACACACATATATATATATATATATTTTTTTTTTTTTTTCACTCATCTGTTTTGAAACTAAATTACTAAATTTTTTCATTCAATATATTACTCATCAATATATTTTTCTAAATATAGTTATACATCTCCGTCCTGGAGAGAAATATCAGCTGTGTTGCTGCCATCAACATCTTTGTTTATAGATTTTGGAGATCAGCCTGTTTTTCAGTGCCGTCCTGTTTCTCTGACTCTGGCTGGATGTGCTCTCTTCATCCTCTGACATGGGAGCTGGCTCGGAGCTCGTCTGCTTGGCTGTGTGTTTCCTGGATTGGGCCGTCTTTTACATTTGCTTTTTCTATGTCTGCTTCTGTCTCCTTGAACCCCAGTCGGCCTCAGCAGATGGCCGCTCACACTGAGCCTGGTTCTGCTGGAGGATTCTTCCTGTTAAACGGGAGTTTTTCCTCTCCACTGTCGCTACAAGCATGCTTAGTGTGAGGGATTGCATTCAAGTCAATGAGTCAATGCATTCAACTGGTTTTCCTTAGATGGAAACCTTGGGGTATCACTGGGTTGTCATAGCAACGACTGCTTTCCTTTGACGTTGGTGAAAAGAAGCCTTCTCATTCCCAGTGTGCGGGGCTGTGGCTCTGTGACGCATGTTAACATATTAAACATTTGCCCCTTTCATACAACAAATGCATATGGTCAAATAAAACTATTTCAAAGAGGACCCTCAATTTTGGAATTAAGTTTTTCTCATGAACTAATATTTATTTTCTGTCAGTGTGACAAAGATGCAGAGATAAAAGCAGAACATACATTTGGAGGAACGTGTTTCCACCGCTACCAGGCCGCGGTTACACCTGCTGCCAAATTCCAGCAGCCTGTACTGATGCCGCCTCACTGTTTAAAGGAAAAGTATGAGAACTCAAACTTCTGAAAGTACTTTAAATATAAAATTATTCTATACTGTTCAATAAATAAGTGTTTTTAATTAAGAGTAATTTTTATTTGAATGTGCTTTACTGGAGGAATCCATGTTTGTCAAAGAACACTACTGCCACCTACTGGTTTGTGACGTCACAGTGCGGTATCGGCTGTTGATCAAGTCCCAGTGCTGTATCTGGTGTTTGTCACAACGAGTTATTATCCAAGTCATCTTGAAAACATTATTCTTCAAAATATTGGCTCCATATTACGTGCTTTTAATCTCTGGCCAAAAGTTTGATGGCAAATCCTCCCTCTTCAAGTTGGCAATCCAATGACAAACCCGTCAGTGGAGGATCAGGAATCAGAAAGGAGAAATAACTATTTTTTTCACTTTTATCCAATGTATTCCAACATCCAGCTGCCATGCACGTGGGCATTGTCAGTTTCACTATAGCTCTGGTGAATTTCAATGGTGAAGTCCTCTGGAAATCTTCAATAATTGTTGTTGATTGCAGATGTGTCTAGTAGTTCCCATTTGCTTGTAAAGCGGGGAGAATGGTGCTAGGCTTATGGCAGGAGGGAGGGGTTACTATATTTGGGCAAAAATGGCCGCTCCCAGACTCATGACGAAAATTATTTTATGTTTTTACCGATGAACAATAAATTCATTAAATCACCTTGAATGTTTTAGTTTTAGGTATAAATAATGACCCATTGATTATTCCTTGCTGAGCGGACTTTTCCTTTAATGGCGTGATCGTCCACTCGCCCTACCCACTACGAACCATCGGCTCGTAGAATCAAAGCATAAAAACCTTGTTAGTTTCTGAAGGCATCAGGTGAAAAAACTAAGAACTTCCTACCATTCACCAAGATCTAAATCTTTTTTTTTTATTAATGGTCAAAACACCAAAAAAACAAAGTGAACAAGTGAATTTAAAAATTAAAACATATTAAACCCATTAGTAAAAAGCAGCATCAGGAGCCCAGAAGGACTAACCAGGATGAAACAATGTGTGCAAAGTCCAAACATTGGAGGACTGTTCTTTAAGAAGGTCAGACTCAATCAGTCGGAGTGAAGGTCAGTAGAAAAAGACGCCAAAGTCGCCCTTCCCATTACGTTTGAACTGGTTCCCCTGAACAGAAACAAAGATCTGGTGCTGCATCAGATCCTGGACCGGTCGGCTGCAGGACACCTCCTTGTTCCGGCTCAGCTGACGGCCAAACTGCCACTTCCTGCCGCTAGCAGAGGCCACGTCGCCGTCTGTGCAGCCGGTCCCTGCTGCCTCAACAGGAGAGGCTGCAGAGATGCTGCTGGGATGAGCTTCTGGCTTTGATGATGATGATGCCTCCGGCTGCGTGTCTTCGGTTTGTCCAGCTGGGTCGGCTAGAGTAAAAAATATTTATAGATTATTAATTTACCGTATCGGTTCTGCATTGAGTTGTGTCACGGGATCGGGATCTGCTCACCTTCCGTCTCGTGGACGTTCTGCTCCTCTCCTGGTTTCACCAGAATCACCCCGTAACACTCGTTGTTGTGGATGACGTTTTTCTCCATGGTGATGGACGGCATCCCATCCAGCTCATTGGCAAAGTCCTTCAAGCACAATGACAAACCTTTATCGCACTGCCGGCTAAAGCCGGGCCAACACTACGATTGATTTAATCTTTGCATGCAGCTACAGCTCAAACTGTACAACGAAAGGTTTGCAGGGTTTAAAAGTTCACAGCTCACGATGTAAGTTCTCACACTGCGGCCCAACGCTCTGATGCGATCTACCCGCTCACACTGTATGTCTAAAAACTACGTCGGACTCAGCTCCGCAGTGAGATGGCGCTACTCGGACTCGTCTATCCGGAAGCCAAACCAGCAAAAAAGGAAGGTCAGGAAGTGTTGATGCCTCTAGTTAAAGTTGTAGGGAAGCAGCTGTTCCAACCGTTGCATTTCTGAATTCTCCCAGTGGTGCACGACTTTACACGAGTGAATAAAGTGAATGTGATTGATCGTTTATCAAGGGGGCGGGATTTTTGTGGCGGAAGGTTCACAAGCAAGTTTGGTTGTGGCCGGTTTCTCGGAAGCATCGTTGCTAACCAGTTAGCAACTTAGTGCTAGTAGGTTCCCTATGGGAAATTCCATTGGGAACAAGTAGCGCTAAATTGGTGACTTAGAAACGACACTGTCAAGGAACGCTATGGACAGAGGAAACATGCAAGAGGAGGAGAGTTTAGTATCGGAGGTCGTGAATGATTCTCCTCCGTCATCCATTTTTATTTAGAGGAGGAGAGCGGGACGAAGATGTTGTGGAAGAGGATGCCAGGGCGGCAGAAGCTTGGTTTGGTGTAGAAGGCTTACAGCCGTACATGTTTGAGCCCTTGCCTCGCAACGCTGCCAGTTCTGTTAGCTCTACGCCTGCCGAAGAAACAGACGTCCATCCCCGTGAACACTGGGACAGAACTCAATGGAAAAGGAAATGATTCTTATTTCATGAACAATTCTTTGGACAATATGGTCTAATAAATAGCACATTTATATACATGTTTAAGCCAGAATGATTTGACATTTAAATATGATTTCCTAGAGCCTAGCTGACCATTGCTCTGCTGTTAGAACTTTAAATCTATTTATTTTAACAGTTTTAGCTACTTTGTTAATATTAAGTGAACAAATGACACAATGTCCTGTTTTTAGAACATTGAGGGCCAGAAAAATAGCTATGATGGCCCTGATTAGGCCCCGGGCCTCGAGTTTGACCCTAGGTGGATGTTATGAGTTAATCCAATGGAGCAAATCGTTTTTCTTTCAGTGTGAATGAGCCACAAGCAGCGTTTCACCTTGATCAGGACTCCATCCTTACAGTGATGGATCTCGTTGTTGACCAGACTGCAAATGCTGCCGGGATAAATCTCCAAACCCGCTCCCTGCACAGAAACACAGCATAGAGATCAGCCATTCATGAAGAGGCTCAGTCTCTGAGGTCTCCAGTGCGATGGGTGCGGTGCAGTCCCCAACCTTGGAGCCGTACAGGTCGCACATGTTCATGGTGAGGCGGGCGGAAGTTCGCACAACCACGCCGGTGGTCTCACATTGCAGCACGCAGTTCTCCATGTTCAGGGTCCCCTGACGAACGCCTGGTAAACAACCAACCAGAAAAGGTTCAGCTCTCCCAACTGTGCAGCAGGTTGAAACGATGGATGGCAGAAACATTTTATAAAGTTTTCTCTACAGGAAAACATCAGGTAGGAAAACTGATAAACAGCGCCAACCGATTCCTGTGCTGAACACATCAAAATAGTTTAATACTTTAACGATCATTTCTCAGGTTTGAAGGCAAAAAAAATCATTTTGCTACAACATTTAAGAACAATAATCATTAAAGCAATAAAGATACTAACTGTAACACTTGATTGATTTACACACTAAAATACATCAAACACTTCGCAGTTTTAAAGCAGCTCTGTGTAACTTTTAGCTGTAACTGCCTGGTTTGGCGCCCTCTAAAGGCCCCTGGCAACATCACACTGATACCAGAACACCAAGGGAGACCGGTGTTCTGTCAAATAAGCATACCCGGTCAGACCAGCATACCAATAATCAAAACCCATTTATCAATTTAATTTATCCCTTTATTTTAGAATAAAAAATACACTTGTACAAAAAAAAAAAAAAAAAACAACAACTATTTAGTTACTTACTTTTAGGTGTTTTTTTGAAGTGTATGGCGATCTGACCTTAAATTGTTTTTTTGTACTTGATTAAAAGGATACACGGCCGTTGAGGTAGTTTAAAGTCTATTTTTCATACAAAACTGAAGTGATAAATGCAAATCGGACATCTTGCGTATTGACTATAGCTATGCTCACCTGAAAGAAAAGAAATTAGCGAAAATGTCTTAGCGGGGAATGCAGTTTTTTTTTTTTTACATTGGGCCCTCGATTTTACGTTATTACATCATGGTCTACTCACCCATATGAGTCTTGTGTGATTTGGAGCCGTTCTGAAGATATTCAGTTAGGTTATATCTAAGTAACATCTTCCTATGGGCAACGACTTGAAGGCACAAACTGAACTGTTCATAATTTATTCTTTATGGTACGCCAGCATTCATAAAATGTAGGCCAATCACTGTCCCCCAGACATCCGCGGTTATATATTTTATATTTATATTTATATAAAACAAAGCTGAGTGTGTATGAGGTCATCCATGCGCCGGACTAGAGTTGTGACAGACAGCCCGGGCCACAGGCGGCTACGCTAGCTAAGTAATTTGCAGAAGGAGACATGATAAAACTAGTAAATTATCCTTTAGGAAACAATAGATCGAGTTTGGGCAAGTAAGTAAAACTAGCTACAGTTCAGCGGACAGGATGAAGGAATGGTAGCCGGCGCACGCGGACGACTTAATACACACTCTGCTTTGTTTTCTAAGTTCAACCAGATTGACCAAACGCCGAACAGGAATATGGAGAGTATGATCAACTCACACAGAATGCCTTCCACAGCGTCGTGTTGGATGAACTTGATGTTGGACACTTGGACGTCGGCCCCCGTCGACTCCACAAACGAGTCGCCTTTGTGACGGTTTTCAATCACCACCTCATCAGGAAATCCAAAGCCTGGTGAACACAAACAGAGAGGGATCTGTTCACACCAATCCAACTGCGGTAAATCTCAGGAGCCTTTGAACACAAACCAGTTTTGAATGGTTGGGAGTAAAATAGAAACCCCAAAGTAGAACATTATCGTGAAGTGGGAGCAAAAAGGTTCACTTCTGACCTCTGGGAGAAAAACTAGCATCTGAAAGACCACGTGAGAGCAGCAGAGAGATCAGGAAGGAGGTTGAGAATAAGCTTAAAGACAGGATTTTGTTCTACAGTAACATCCTGAAATCCTCACAGAGCTCTGCTTGGACCCATTCATCTGGGCGACATGACTGCAGAGGCACCCGACTAAAGATGGATTCTTTAAGGCTGATTCTGATTGTTTTGACATCAGCTTTAAGTGATCCTCGATAACGACTGCCAATTATAGGGGATCCAATTCTTTACCCGATAGTTTTTTATGCCTCAACAAAAATGTTTCAGAATGTTTCATTTCAACCAGAAAAAACATTTATAAACAAATCAAATCAGGCATTAACAGTGTAAAACAGAGAACAGCACTGTATGCGCCTCATTTAATGTCAGGGCAGCGTACCTCACCTGGCCAGCCACAGCAACTTTCGTCATGTGTTGAGGCGGATTTATACTCAGAAACCAGGTCATTTTCTTTAGTTATTTAAAAAAAAAAAGTATAGCCTCAATGACACAGAATTTTTTAATTACTTATAGATGAAATTCATTCTGAAATCCTCACTATTGAAAGAAAACAGCCTGGGGGACAAAAAGGACCTTGAGGATAAATTAAAACATGCTGCTACGAATTTTTTCTCAAATTTTTATTTTCTTCATGCTTAAATTTCAGCTGTAGAGATGTTTAAACCTCCTTGGTCCATATTTTTGTCAATGTTTTGTCAAACCCAAACAAAAGAAAAAGTTGAGAAGATCTAAAGTTTTGGAGGAAACCTTAACTTAAGGTTTGTGAACTAAATATTTTAACCTAATATATATTTGCTTGATTTGGCTGATTAAAAGTTTTTTGTTGTTTTGTTTGCATTGATACTTGTGAGACATGTTATTACTGTGTCATCATTATAAAATGGACAAAGAGAAATAATATCGGCTTTAGAACTGAGCCTAAAACGTTGGCAGGACATATGGGAATCAGTTTGACCAGAAGATGAAATAATCACCTTCCTCCATTAAAAAACAAGCATCAGTCAATCTCTGCATGTTACCTTCAATAGTGATGGAGTCTGGTATGAAGATGGAGCTGCTGACGGTGTATGTCCCTGGAAGGATGATGACCACGTCACCCTGATGACAGGCGCCCACTGCTGCCACCGGATCTTTGTGGAACTATGGGAATGAGACGCATCGTTCATTCATACAATGGAGGACAGAGAACTTTAGATACTTCCTAATAATTGGTTCAGGTTGGTAGCCTGAAAAAAAAAAAACATGCTACATGACAGTCTGCTTAATGTCAGGTATATACTGTGGCATTATCGGCCGTGGCAGAAAATACGAGGGCTGTTGGAATAATATGAAGGAATAAATGGCTCTAATGCTACGTTCACACCTAAAGAAGTAGAGGCAGCTGGTTTACATGCAAAGTCAACGGTGGACGCGCATCAAGGCGCAGCAAAACGTCCCGTGTGTGTTTTGAGCAGCAGAAGTAGCGCGTCATGAGCTTCTGACGCGCAGAACACGCTGCAAACACAGCAGCTGCTGGAGTTGGAAAAATGTTGCTGCTCGAGACGCGACATCAACCAATCAGAGAAGCTGATCTGGGAGCTGGCAGGGCATCACTGGTATGTTAGGCTCTGAGCGGCGGAGAAAATAGAGAGAAATAATATTTGAAGGCAGGATGGTAATCTAGATGAACTGACTGCACTGATGAGGTTTTTAGGTGGACTTTCTCATTTAAGAACATATTAAAACAACTTTTTACCCACTGATCACAGCAAATATAGCTGCCATTGTTACAGGCAAGGAAAGGATAGGGTAGCTCTGCCCAACGCGCATCAGACCTACCTTTTCCCACCGCGCAGCTGGAGAAGCAGAGATGCTTGAGCCGCGCGTCAGAACTAAACTTGTACAAGCATCAAAAATGAAGCAGCAAACGCGTTTTTGCTAGCGATGTGAACGTAGCATAAATCTGCGCGACCTACTTCACGCTGTCAGGCGGGTTCTAGTGTCGGATTTTTAAGATGTTGATCTCACGGTGTGATGTTGGCCATGACCTACAGCTTCTAATCAGCCAATAGGAACGCAGCTGCTGCTGGAGATCTGATGGGGAAGATAAACCTGAGGGAATCCTTTTCCAGGATTTTCTAAAGATCCACTGAGACGATTAATAACAGAAACTATCAGCCAGAAAAATTACTTATTAATTCAGAATTTATAGCAGTATCCATGGAAACCACAAACGAACATTTAGCCTAATTTTTACTGTACGTATTTATCCTTTAGGATAGAAAACACTGTTAGTTGGAGCAGGCAGACAAACACAGAGGTTTGATTGTTTCTCAGGAACTAAGAACTAAAGGTTCACTAAAATTATTTTCACCAATCTTTGTTCGTTCCATTTATTTGGGTGCATTATTTATTTATTTTTTTTCCATTTGTATCTAATTAATGTAACGTTTCTACACTCTGTCTGTTGACCTACTGACATAAAGAAAATTATTTGCAAAATAGAACCAGAACAACTTTTATAAGGTAGAGAGTTTTGTTAACCTGACTCCGCCAGATGGATTTGCTCCGCATATCCATCTGGAAACCTTCGGTTGAAGTAATTTTGGGAAGGGGCGAAAATACTGGTTAGCTGATTAGCCTATGTTGGTGATAGACGTGCCAAATAAACCAATCAGATCAACGAAGCATATGACGTACTAACAGAGCGACGGGGAAGAGGAGCCAATTGATTGATCAAACTCTTGCCGAAACCAGTCGGGAGAAGAGCAAAAACATCTTTTCCTCTGAGAAAAGCCTCCAGAGCAGTGTTTTGCTCTTCTTTCAGTGAAGAAATACTCTGTAATTCCGATAAAACTTGCTCGATAGCCCCGCTAACGCTAGTTTCATCGGCTGAAGCCGCCATGTTCTTTAGACTGAACTGTCGCGCTTCTCGTCACACCTCAACCCGACTCAAAGCCAACGCTGATTGGATGTTCGTTTGGTGAACGGCTCCAAATTTTCTTTAACGGAGAGTCTCCAGACTGATCTGCGAGTGAAACCTTGAAAGCTCGCGAGATCAGGATGGTTTCACAAGGCTAGAGTTTTGTTGAGAGGAGCAGGATTCCACTGATTCATTTTGGTGCCGCCCATGAAAATATAAAAAAAAAGCAATATATTTTGGATTTCCGACTGTTCTCCTGTCATGGAGAACATTTCCTGTTTAACAGACAGGGGATTGAGCAGGGATTAATCGATTAGCATCCATTTTCTTAGAAATCGTGGTTTCTCTTGTATCAAAAGGATCTTTCCATAACATGAAGGGCAACATATTTGTTTTATGATTTTCTGGATTCAAAAAAAAAAGAAAATAGTAAATCACTAACAGCAACAGTTAAAGCCTGGGACCTAACTGTTGGAGCTATTAACTCTTTATTTCTTTATCCATTTGAATTGTGTTAATTCCTAAACTTATATATTTTTTTGCATTACTTACAGACTTTATTTATAGGTTAATTGTTGAATTTTGTGTATTTATTTTTTGATGTTTTATCATTTTTTCTTTCTTTATTATGTAAAACAGGAAGAAATGTGGGCGGTCCACTTTCTATAAATGTAGGAGCCTGGTAAGGACCAGCAGGCATTTAGGTTAGGGGCCTATGGGTTTTTACCAGTGCAAGAGAGGTGACGGAGCAAGGAATGTTTGAACTCTGTAATGTTGCAAAAATATAGGAAATAAATCAACTGAACATCTACAAGTTTGGACTTTAACTTCTTTTGCCTGCGTCAAAAAAGCGTGACCCCAGTGCCTATAGTGGCTGATTGGAACTTTATTGGATGTTTGGTTTGACAAACAATCGCCAAACACTAACCCTAACCTGTACGGAGCTAAAGTCACATGAGGCCTGGAATGAAGACTGGCGGTTTGGGAGCCAGAACAGAACAAAAACGGAGAAAGCGAGACAGCCTGAGTGAGCCGAGCGCCTCCATTAAAACCATCTGGACTGAACTCCTGTTTTAGCTCCAGAATCTGACCGCGGTTCTGCTGTGAGCACGCGGGAGCGACCCACCTGGATCTCTGTGTTCTCTGAGGCGCTGAGTGGAGTGAGCCGTGCAGTGAGCAGAGCCTGGAGCTGGATGCTGCTGCAGACCCCCGTTACCACGTGAACCATCTTCATCCCCGACTCTCTGAGCCCCCGGCTCTCCACGCACTGCCGCCTGGAGCTTCCCTTGTAGGCGAGCACATACCTGGACAGGGGAGGGATGGGGGGGTCAGGGGGTTCTGTGGCGTAGAATGACTTCTACCTGCAGAGGGACGCACCTAAGCAGGGGGTTCTCTATGATGTGTAATCTACGTTTAAACATCTCCAGCTGGTCGTAGAGCTTCAGGCCCTCCACCATGGACACGTTGTCCAGCTCCGAGTCTGAGTCAGCGCTGAGGCCGCTACGCAACTCGGAGAACTGCTGGAAGCACTGGGAGCAGCTCTGCAGCAGAGACTGGTACTCTGCCACCAGCCCAGCAGGGAGTCTGTCCTCCAGGACGTCGTAGAAGCTGAAAGGAGGCATTCAGGAACGTGAACCGGCAGCAGGAAGCAAAGCTTTGGCGTTACAGAGATTGGAATGGTGCTCACAGTCTGAGACGAGGCTCCACACAGCGGACAAAGTAATCAAAGTCATCGTCCTCGTCTTCCTCGTCCCACTGCCTCCAGATGTGCTTGTAGAAAAATCTGCAGAAAGGAGGAGAGGAAGTGAATGTTGGTCCTTTACTGCTGCAGCAAAAAACACATTTTGGAAATCATTTTGGAATCAACTGGTTTTCCTTAGATAGAAAACTTTGAATCAATCTGACTGTATGATCTGGTGAACTGTAAAGTGCCTTCAGATGACATGTGTTGTGAATTGGCGCTATAGAAATAAACTGAATAGAGTTTTCTAAGTTTGTGTTCCCCCCCTAAAACATTTAAAATATACATCCTCATCTTTTCATTTACTTAAACTGTAAAAGATATCAAAAAGCTGACTTAAACGGAAATAGCTGAATGTTTGAAGAACATTTTTAACGGTTTTTCTAGCTGAAGTACTTCAAGTTGAAAGATGGTAAAATTTTAGCAAAATTTTGCTGAAATCTGAGAATTCCACATTCATTTCAATTCGGCCAAAAAAACGTAGAAAAAGCCAAATATTTCATAAACCTTAAAATAGTTTTGTATTTTTTTTAAATGTCTCATTTTCAGATTGAGTTTTCCAGATCATACTCTCTTCCCTTCTGGGCCGGATTTCCTCTGAACTGAGGAGCAAAGACAAATTTCACTTTTTCATAAAACCCGTGTGATATTTTCAATCGTTGCACGCAGCTACAGCTCAAACTGTACGAAGAAACTGCAGGGTTTAAAGATTCACAGCTCACGATGTTCACTGTGCAGCCCGACGCTCTGATGCGATCTACCTTCACTGTACGTCTAAAAAACAGAACGGACTCAGCGCTGAGAGGAGGCGCTGGTCGGACTCGTCAATCTGGAAGATTGCACATGCGCAGCACTTGAGGTTCTGGTAAATCGGCTAGTAGTTCTGCTTCAACAGCAAGATTTGTCCACATGTTTGATTTTCTCCCGACCTCGCGATTACTGATCAGGAGTTGGCGGTGAGAGGCTTATCGCCCCTTGTTACCTCCTGTATACTACACAATGCAGGATGGAGGAGGGGGCTGAAACTCAGCCCAATCGAAAAAGGGCAGAACAAAAATCGTATACAGTCTACGCTCAGCTTAAAGTTGTCAAATCATTCTGGCTTAAACATGCATATAAATGTACTCTTTATCAGACCATATTATCCCAAAATTTAGAACATTTCTATAAAAAAAAACCATCTTTATTAAAAGATGTTTTTTTTTTGTTTTTTTTGTTTTTTTTGTGCAGGCCAGTTAGTTATACGTCAGCCTGAACACCTAACGTTGGCCAATCATATATCAACGATCATCTGTCAATCAAATGTTTTCGGTCATAGCATCTTGATTCATATGTGGCAGCTAATATACGCAGTGTTCACGGGGATGGACGTCTGTGTCTTCAGCAGGCGTAGAGCTAACAGATCTGGCAGCGTTGCGAGGCAAGGGCTCAAGCATGTACAGCTGTAAGCCTTCTACACCAAACCAAGCTTCTGCCGCCCTGGTGTCCTCTTCCACAACATCTTCGTCCCCGCTTTCCTCCTTTAAAAAAATGGATGACGGAGGAGACTCATTATGACCTCCAACACTAAACTCTCCTCCTCTTGCATGTTTCCTCTGTCCATAGCGTTCCTTGACAGTGTCGTTTCTAAGTCACCAATTTAGTGCTACTTGGTCTTAATGTAATTTCCCATTGGGAACCTACTAGCACTAAGTTGCTAACCGGTTAGCAAGATGCTTCCAAGAAACCGACCACAACCAATTTTGTTTACGAACCACAACAATCCCGCCCCCTTGATAAACGACCATTTACGTTCACTTTATTCACTCGTATAAAGTCGTGCACCACTCGGGAGAATTTTGAAATGCAACGTTTGGAACAGGCGCTTCCCTGCGACTTTAAAGAAAAAGAAAACCTTGAAAAAAGAAAATTTGGGAAAAAAATTATAATAACATTGAACAATAAAAGTTTCTCTCAAATCTTTTTTTGATAAAAGCTATATTTCCAAGTTTCATTTCTTGATTTAATTTTAACCCCATTTATAAAACGTTCTGTTTGCAACATTCCCCGCATACGGTCAGAGCTACTGATCAGCAGCTTCCTACCTAAGGTGCTCCAGAGCGAGAGCGGTCTGATCGAATTCCCCCGACTCCTTATAAACCACCTGCAGCTCCAGCAGGGGCACTTTATGCTGAGTCGCCTCCAGCAGGGAGTTAAAGGCGTCCTCTGTGATCTCACAGCCTCTGGTTTGGCTCTGCAGAGGCAGAGCCAGCTTCACACACGCCTTCAGCTCATTCAGGTCCAGATCTTCCACCTGAACTCGACCAAGAGAGTCTCGTTACGTTCCACCGCTTACATTAGAAGTCCTGCCACGTCCATAAGCTGCTCTTACCTCCACCACGACGTCGAAGATGTTGGTGCTCCACACGGCCGACCAGTCGCACGGCTCCAGCGCCTTTTCTAGGTAGTCGGCCGTGAACGCCTTCACCTCCGAGGGCTTACAGTCTCCTGAGAAAACAAACACGTCAGCGTTTTCCAGAAAGGCAGCAGCTATACGTCCAAATCTCAGCAGAGTTACCCAGCATGTAGTCCTGGTACGCCTTGAACCTCTCGTAGAACAGCAGGTTGCTGGTCTGGAAGGTGTCGGGTAGATTCCAGCCTTCATCTCCGAGCCGCTGGCATCTCTGAAGCCGAGTTCCTGAACTCTCACCGCTGCCGTGATCCGTTCCACTGTCATCATCGCTGTCCTCTCCGCTCTCATCGTCTTCATTCTCAAACAGGGCTGCAGGGGGGGAGGGGGGTAAAGACTTCACCTCTGAATCAAGTCTAGATCTGCAACCATTGATTCTTTTAGTAATCATTTATTCTATCAATTAATTTTTAATCACCTGAAAGGAGATGCTTTTGGTAATTTACCATATCTAAACAATTTGTGATAAAGAAAAGAAACCATTTATTTCAGCAAATGTCATGTTTTAGTCTCTGAGCCATGACTATGGGTAACAAATCCATTCCCTTACAAAATCAGCTGACAGTTATTTTAATTAGAGCTACAACTAAGGATTATTTTGTAAATTGATTAATCTGGGGATTATTATTTAGATTAATCTGTTTATAATCAGATAGCCAAAGGTACCTTAAAGACCATTTTTTACCAAATTAAACAGGGGAAACTAAAACTTTTCCTCTTGAGAAGTTCTGGATAGAGAATATAGACTTACAAAATTTATTTTAATCTTAAATTCAAGCTGTCTATACATTTCTTTACAATTTTAGTATAATTACTGCTCTAAATGGGTTCTTCTGTCAGCTAAAGGCATGGTTTACAGTCTCTATACTCCAGTTAATGATTAATCATTTACTAAACTAGTCGATTATTTCAATAATTGATTAATCTGATTAATCGATTCAGCCCTAATTTTAATGATTGATTAAATCAGATGAATCATTCCAGATCTAATCACGCCACTATGATCATGGGATGTTCTTCTAAAGCTCTTAGCTACAACTTTCAAATCAAAAAGATAATTTTTTCCAAAAAGAAAAAAACATGCACAGAACATCTAGAGTGGTACAAAAAAAAACAACATTGCTTTTTAATGAAAAGAAGATAAATAATTGTTCTAGAAATGTTGACTGGTCCAAAATAGATCCTAGAAGCTCAATGGAAGACCTGAGAAATGTTTTCCTCTCTGTCAGACTGAGGAAAAAAAGAAAGAAGCTAATTTAATGGAAAAGGAGGCCAAAATATATCTATCTATCTATCTATCTATCTATCTATCTATCTATCTATCTATCCATCTATCCATCCATCTATCTATATATATATAACACAGCAAATCCCTTCATCATCTTTACTGTTGACAGGCTGCAGCCAAGTCCCGAATACCTTATTGGTCTGCTGGACGTTAGCAACAATGTTTCTATTGGTCAATAATGAGCATCTGTATTGGTCTGGAAATGAAGACAACATGATGTGGCAAGATTTTAATTTGTAAAACTCAGTGTGAAAAAGTAAACATTAGAACAAATAAAATCTGTAATAATAAAAACGGAAGAATAAAGTTTACGAAAAAAAAAATTACTAAATAAAATTAAAGAAATTAAGAACGTTAATTCAAAAAAAAAATTTAAAGCTGAAAAAACAGCAGTTACTCTCTTTTTCTGTTTAAGAAATTTTACCAAAGTTTTATTACTGGCTCGCATTTTTTTCTTCAAAAATAGTTAGTTAAATTATCCATAAACAGGTTTCAAATAAAAGAGGGAAAGAAAGTGCAGATAATTCAATAGAACTAAATTAATGAATTATTCCATTAACCCTTTATAGGGCCCTCAGTGAAATCCTTTGAAAATCCAAATTTCAAGCCACATTCAAAATTATGGATATTTTGATGGCAGAAATTAATGTCAATGTAATAACAAGAAATACCAACTTGCCCGAATATATATATATATATATATATATATATATATATATATATATATATATATATATATATATATATATATATATATATATATATATATATATATATATAAAAGTGCTTCTATGAAAAATACATGAAAAACACTCAGAGAAAGAAACTAATTTTTTGGTCCAACATAACCTTACAGGCATTAATGCTAATACTGGCACTTATTATCTTTTTAACTTTACTTATTAACTTTTCAATTAACTTTTTACCTTTTTTTTATTATTATTAACTTTAAGAGAAATAACAGACAGAGGTTTGGCTACACTGGAAAAACGCAGCTAGCATAACTGAATCCATGTAGCTTTAGTTAGCTTAGTGATGGACCGTTTTGACAGCTGGGATTGTTTGGCCCTGTGCTTGTAGCTGTGTGGTTTTAGCCACTTTGGTGGCTCTAAAGCAGAAGGTATAAAGTTTCCCACATACCCTGGTTTATATTCAGCAGGTTTCGCCCCAATCCTAGCAGCTCTTCCTCTGCTTCCTCGGCTTTAACGGCGGACTGTAAATCCACCACCACCATGTCCGACATGTCACTGATTACACACGCTACGTCCTGCTCCATTGGTGCGCTAAAAACAACAAGCAAACACCGGGGTCTGTGTGAAAAACTGTTCGGACTGGTTCTGTTTCACTGTCAGGCAGCAGCGCCCAGCCTGATTCTTTCAAAATATCCCGGTCAGCGCCTGGGCCAATCAGAACACAGAACACTGGGCCAATCAGAACACAGGACACTGGGACAATCAGAACACTGGGCCAATCAGAACGCAGAACACTGGAACAATCAGAACACTGGGCATGCGCACAACTCCAGCTGATAGAAACCTCTCAGCCGATTGTTTTCTTTACGCCGAAAAACTGTATAAAACCTGCTGAGATCTATACTCTATGGAAGCCGTTTCCATCACATGAAAGTAAAAACAACTGACTAATAGAAAGACATAATTATGACATACAACGTCATAATTTCGACTTTCAAAGTCATAAATATGAGCTAGAAAGTCATAATTATGAGCTAGAAAGTCATAATTATGAGATTCAAAGTCATAATATTCCCAGTGAGAAATTACTTTTATTACACTACTCCATCTGTAATAGAGTGACTATAGGACCAGTTTGATTTAACACAATTTCATACAATATATATAATCAGGCATGGGCGTAGGTTTGCATAGGTTTGCAACCGACCTAATTGTCCCTACCAATAATTGGATGTGAGCAACATGTTTATAATTTACAGCAGTAGTTGTTGCCCTCTCGCAGCTCCTCTGCCTTGTCTCTCCTGTCCCTTTCACGTAGCAGCGCATGGAACTGTGCTGCGCTGTTTAACTCCACTCTCATTGGTTGTTCTGCCTTAGGTTCCGCCTTCTCTCTTTCTGATTGGCTGTTTTCTAGTCCGTGCGTTCTTGGAGCACAACATTGAAAATGTATTCACACTAGAATGCAGCGGTTAGTACAATTAATGTTAGGCTACAAAACTAGTCCCAATAATTAAAAAAATTAATATAATGTGCACTAAAAAACAAAAACCTTTTTTTTTTTCTTTTATAAAACGAAATATTCTGAGTCAGCCAGGAGTTCTGAAGACTGCTGGAAAAATGGGCAAATAAAGGCTGTAAGCATCAACATTTCTGATTCTTAGCCACAGCCAACTGAAAAAGGAAATGTGAGGGTTTCCTTTTTATCGATATTTAGTTGCTATTACTGTTTTCATTTTTTTGTTTTTATTTTTACAATTTTGATATAATAACTGATCTAAGTGGGTTGCTCTGTCGGGGAAAGGCACATTTTACATTTATATTACTGTATGTTTCAAAGTCTCTATACTCCAGTTAATGATGAATCACTTACTAAATTAGTTGATGATTATTGAAATAATCAATTAATATGATTCATTTTTTTCAGCCCCAGATAAAATACCTGAAATGGGCTACACAGAGTAACTACAGCCCAGATGTTCAACTTTTATAGTGAAGTTAATATAATGTATTATTTTGCTTGATACAGAGAGAGCATAGTAGGTACAAATATTAGAGTGGGGTTTAACTCTGCACAATTCTATATCTTCAAAAGAAAATACTGTATTTACCTCCTCTCTTAGTCGTTCAAATGAAACAATTTTTAAAGTGGAAAACAGTCCTAATTCCACATTCATCAGAGCCGGTGATACTTCAAACATTAATAAACAGCATCTAATGAGTGTAGCGCTTATAACATTTTTATTAATGGAGCCAAATGTTGCTTTTCTCTTTTAACAATGAATTCCTCTTATCAGTAGAGATGCTCACATCGAACATAAAAAAGGGCATATTGCATAGCACCAATGACACCAGACCAATAGTGTCCCTACCAAAGTTCAAATCAAACCTACGCCCTTGTAATCAGGGGTCCTTCACCTGGAAAAACATTGAAGACCCCTGCAATACAACTTTCCACACAAAAAAAATAAATAAATAAATATATATATATATATATATATTTATTTATTTATTTATATATTTTATTTATATATATATATATATATATATATATATATATATATATATATATATATATATATATATATATATATATATATATATATATATATATATATATATATATATATATATATATATATATATATATATATATATATATATATATATATATATAGTAAAAAAATAATCATAATAATAATCACCAGCCCTCATGAATTTTATCTTTGGTACAAGACTTATAAATCGATCTGAAACCCGTGTGTCAGATAGTAGGATGGACATTCTATTAGAAATATTAAAAGATTAACAGACCTTTTATCTATATACACAGCAGAAATTGTGTCAATTATTATTAGTTCGCAGGGTGGAGGAGGTTAGACCAGACAGGGTGGTGATTTGCACAGATTATAAAGCTGCAATGGAAAGAATTCATTCAGTTCTGTTGGATTCCAGCAAACGAAGGGATGAGAGGAAATGAAATAGCAGACAAGATAGCTAAAGAGGCTTTAGGAAAGCACAATATAGATCAGATTCCATTTGGGAAAGGGGAAGGTAAATCAATAATAAAAAAGAAAGAAACAGAATTATGGCAAAAAACATGGATGAAGATGAGAAAGGAAGAAGATTATATGGGTTCAAAAATCTGTAATTGTTAAAAATTACAGAGAAAGAAGCAGAAGGGAAGAGATCATTTATACTAGATTAAGAACTGGACATACCTACTTAAATGAGTTTTTGTTTGTAAAAGGGAAGAGAAATAATGATTTATGTGAGGGTTGTGAAAGAAAAAATAAATGGGGATCATGTTTTGATGGATTGCATTAAATATGCAATGAAAGAGAGAGGATGAGGGAAATAATGGAAAAGGGGAGATAATGGAGTATTAAAAGAATTTTAGGGACAGGTGGAGATAGGATAATTTGGTTATTAATAAAGCATTGTTTTTATTTATACATAACACAAAAAAGTAATATTTAGTAGGTGGAACTATAGAGCTACAAACTCATGTACAATAGGAGGAAGAAACTTTTTTTTTCTATATATGAACTTTATTTAAACAAAGTGAGTACAAACAAGTTAGGCAATAAGAACATTCAAATACTATGGAAGGCATAGTAGAGGCAGATTTCAGAATGGAAATACAAAGTAACATTGATGAGAAAAATAAAGACTGAGTGAGTAATGCTAATGATACAATAATTAATATAAAGACAAGGGGATTCATATGTTAGGATTAATGCACATCAGTGGGCAGTTCCATTAGTATGTCAGTCAGGTATTTGTAAGATTCGATACATTCAAGAGATGTCAAATATAAATTAAATTCAGATAAAAAAATACTAAAGATTGGGGATGATCTCAAGACTCTCTGTTTATGAATAAAGAATTTTGCTAAACATAAAATTAGGTTACAACAGAGTTCTATTGTTTTGTCTTTCAATAGTATTCCAAAGAGTTAGGGAGTGCAATTTTTGATTTGATCCATCTTTCTAAGCAATTCCAAAATGTTTTAGTCAGACTTCAATTAATAGAAGACATGGTCTATAGTTTCTACATCGCTTTCACAGAATGAGCATTTATTGTCATCAATATTAAAACGAATTCTTAGTAGTTCTTTTGAGGGGTAGGTGGCATTTAAAATTTTAAAGTGAGTTTCTTTAGCTTTTGGTTGTATGGGAAGTTTAAAAAAAAGTTCTTAGTATTTCAATTGATTTTTGTTCAAATTTGCAAAGAATGTTATTTTTATTTATTTTCCCAGGGAACAAAGTTTCATTTAGACAGTTTCTAATTGTGTGGTTATTGAATTTTTGATCAGTGATTGATATTCCATTAATAGATAAATCGGGTAGTTTGGGGGTATAATTTTATTTTGAATCTGATTAATAAATTGTTTTGGCAAGGCGTTAAGTAATCTTGTAAATTCATCTTTTGGAGGAAGGAACTGATATTTTGTACAGAATTGTTTGTAATTTAATATGTAACCATTAGTGTCCATTAAATGTATAATAGACCAAATATTCTTCTCCATCCAATCTTTGTAGAATAATGACTTATTGCGATGTAGAATAAATCTATTATTCCATATGATAGAGGAGTGTGGCGAGTAGTTATGAACATATATCATTTCCCAGTACAGTAATACTTGTTGATGGAACTCTGATAGTTTAATGGGTAATTTATAACCACAGTGCTGTATTTTGTTATACTTTACTACTAGCCTGAACACTAGCTCAGTGTTCTTGCGCTCAGTTTCGTCTCTGCGCGTGCTCGAATCCGTCTCTGCTCGCGCTCGACCTCTCTCTCCGCGCTCAACACCAGCTGTGCGCTCGGCTGTTTCTCCGCTCGCTCGACTCTCAGTGACCATGGAAATATTTCAAATGTATGTGATTGTTTTCAAAAAATAAAATGCATGTAGAAAAATTTGAATTTCAACTGCAGTTACCATAGTGATACTTGTTTACCTTCCAAAACTCACACTACCTTTGCAGATCAGCCTATTTCTTTCTGTAAAGACACGATATAAGGAGGTAGGTAATAGGCCTACTTCTTACTTACTTTGAAAAACAAACAAACCATGGTTATGTTGTGTTAAATTATTATGCTCCTGCCTTAGTTGGCTTTATTTTAGGTCTTTTGGGATTGTAACGGAGTCGGAGGAGTTAACTACACCTGTGTAGAGCCTCATTTCTCTGAAAATCTGACAGTAACTGCAGATCAATGTCAATCACTTTTTAGGAGTTATTTGATATTTCATTTAAATGTATGTTATTTCAATCTTATTCTTAGCAATATTGTTTTTTTAATATATAGTAAACTTCTTCCTCTGTATTTTATGCCATCCCCTCACAGCTGCCAGGAGCACATATCATGTCCCTGTTCAAATAGGGATCTGTGTAGATCACGCATAACTCACCCACTTAATTGCACATTCGCTTTGTTCTTTTTTTCATATTTTTTGCATAAGCCTTTTATCACTTATGTTGATTCCCTTTAGACCCGACTTTTAGTGTTTTTAGGGACATTAAATGATTGCTAGACAATTATGTAAATGTTCTTGAAGGTTTCTCTTGAACAGATCTCTGTATGCCGACTTTATATAGGAAGTATCGAAGAAACATTTCTACAACATCACACTTTCTAGGAGATCCAGAAATGGAGAACTTTCTGAG